GCGTAGATTCCGAATTTCGACAAATCACACCTCGCTGACACGTCAAATTTGGGTTAAAAGGCAAAAACCCGGAAAAGCGTTAAGTTGCGTAGTTTTTGCCTTTTAGCCCAAATTTGACGTGTCAGCGAGGTGTGATTTGTCGAAATTCGGAATCTACGCATACGATTCCCTTCCATGAAAACATTTTTGAAGCTCTACGGCCTTTCCTAAGGCCTTTTCCAGCAAAAAAAAAAGGTGCGCAAATGTCCAGGTGCGCAAAAAAATGTCGCATTTGTCCCACCCCCAACAATTCACAAAAATTCGAAATTCTACCGGTCATTTCATTGAGTATTCTTTCTTTTTATGGGAAATTGCTTTATTTTAGCTGATTTTTTTTCCATAAGAACGCACAGGTGCATCGTTGTTTTTTTTTTTTGGGGGTTAATTTCTTTTCTTTTCTTTTTATCCATTTTTTGATTATTTTAATGATCAATTGCGGAATGATGTTTTCTTAGTTCGAAGAACCCTCCAAAACTCTCAATTTTAGCCTTTCTTAAATAAAGTTATGGTGCTGAACATTCGTTTTTTTTATATCTTTATGTGTAAAAACTTTTAGAAAAACGTGTATAAATGTTTCGAAGTAGGAAAGGAATTTGTTTGTTTACAGTGCGCTTTGTGTTTGAAAATTGGAAACGCACCCTTTCTAGAGCATTGAACTTTTGCATCTTTCTCGCAGCAAAGCGTTGATCACGTTAGAAAAGTGCAGAATTTATTGCGCTAGAAATGGTGCATTTAAGCACAAAGTACACATTTCACTATCGAATTGCGCTTTGTTACTGAAAAATTGTAAACGCAATCTAGCTGGGGCACTCATTTCTACAATAACATTGCAAGAAAGATAAAAAAAATCGGTGCACTAGGGCATAAAGTACATCTGAAAACATAAAGCTAAATAAAGAAATGAAAATTTGTACCCAACTTTTTTGATTGGCTCACAATTTTTTCCTTTTGTATCCCTCGCCGTGTGATGCAATTAGACGAGTGAAATCCGCGACGGATTCTTTTTTTTTCGTCTTTGTTTGAAAAACGAATGGAAAATACAACCGAATAATGTCTAATTATGAGGGAAAAAAAGAGGGGAAAAGAAAAAGTGTGAACAACAAGAAAAGAGCCATGGGATAACAGTTTATTGATCTCTTGACTGCAAGGATTTTTAAACCTATCATTTAACTATTTTTTTAAGTCTTAAGAATTTGCTTGTATGCTGTGTGCTTGAACCTAAAAACACAGCCAGTCTGGTACACTGTTTTTTCGACTTTTACCGATCTCACTCGAAAGCACTCACTCGAATCGAGTGAGTGCTTTAAAGCAAGGCTCGGCTACCCTAACCCCGACTACTCAATTTTACAGTATGTCAAAATATAGCTGAGATTTTGGGCTATCTTTTGATACCTAAGCGCACATTGTACCATAAAAGGGTGCTGAGAACGAGGCGCTTAAAGTTGAACTACGTGACGCTTAGGCCGTCATTTTAAGGTGCTTCGATTATAATCATTTCCGTACTGTAACTAAACTTACTTGTAACTTAAAGATAATAAACATAATGATCCGGTTTATGTAGTCAAAATTTAGTACACTAGAAAAGATGTGTTTCCACTTTTGAGCACAATGTACTTTTCATGTCTGGCCCAGATTTTCAATGACATTTCTATGCCTGACTGGACGTTTTTGATTTCAATTCAATTTCATCTAATTAAACTCATTTATTTTCCCAATCTTTGTTGCTTTGGAAATTAGATTTACAGAAAATAATGTTTTGCTGAACACTTTTCACGTAGTCGTTCGTTGGTCGATTCAAAAAAAAATCCCCATGATTAATCATTGACGAAAAACTTTAGCACTCTTTTTTCCAATTAAAATTCGGCAAGATAAGAGTTGAGAGATTGGATGAGAGAATCATTTCGAGATTCGGAATCATTTCGAGATTCGGAACCATTTCGAGATTCTAGACCATTTCGAGAATCTAGACCATTCCGAGATTCTAAACCATTTCAAGCTTCTGAACCATTTCAAGCTTCTAAACCATTTCGAGATTCTGAACCATTTCAAGCTACTAAACCATTTCAAGCTTCTAAACCAATTCAAGCTTCTAAACCATTTCAAGCGTCTAAAACATTTCAAGCTTCTGAACCATTTCAAGCTTCCGAACCATTTCAAGCTTCTAAACCATTTCAAGCTTTCTGAAATTTCCTAATGATACAGAAAAGGATTCATTTTTCGTTTGGTTTATCGTCTTTTAAAAACCGTTTACCGTTTATTCGAACTTTTAGCTTTTCATACTGCACTTTAAATACTTTAAATGTAAATTCACTTATTCAAATTGAAAATTCAAATGGAAAGCATGGTTTTCAGTCTATGTGTGAACAAATCGACAGCTGGACTCTTCCCAACGAGACGCTGGTCGTGATTCGCCTTTTCACCCTCCCATTAGCGCTCATCTTCAACCCATTATGCATTATTCTCTTACTTTACAAAGTTAGTAGGAGTTTTTAAGAATTTATAAGCTATCAATACAATATTCAGGCAAAAGTGCTCCTTCGTAGCTACAAGCACCTGTTGATTTGTGTCTGTCTCATCGACGCTCTCTTCTCAATCCTTTATTTTGTGACGGGTCCGGTGGGTGGAAAAAAGCTATTTAAATATCAAAGATCTAATATCAAAGTAAACTTGTAACTTGTTAATTTATGTATTTCAGACTCCAATCATCGTCGACTCGTCGATTTACATGCTAAATTGTGGCTCATTTGCTGAAGATCCGACGCTGAACCGTCTTCTCTTGCATGCACTTTTTTGTTTGCTTGCTGTTTCTGGATACACGTTGACGATTCTTTTCATCTATCGATGTACCCACATTTGCACGTAAGTTTTAGCACATAACAGTGAGGATTTGTCTAACAAACAATGCATAGCTTTAAGCGTATTCATAGAATCGTTCGAACAAGTTTGATAACTTTAGCTCTCACTACTTGTATATCTTTCAATCAAGGTGGTTTTGGATTTTTGTCAGCGTCGGATTTGCAGGTAAACTGATGGAACTGAGCCTAGAGTAGGCATTCTAAAGCATTCACGATTTTAAAGCATTCACGGCAGTCGTTTACTATTTTACTGATAATTTAGTTGAAAGTTTAAAGATAAACAAAACTGCTATAAACATTTGAAAGCCTCGAAAATCCTCTTGAAAACTAATACAAAGTTATCTTTCTGCAAAATCAATAACAAAAGTCTCTAAGTTTGACACAAAATAATCGTCATTAGTATGGTATTGGTGTTAAAATTGTTAGATTATGGCTCTAGATTTACTTGAATCAATGATTTTATTGGATGAATAGAAAGATAACTTTGTATTAGTTTTCAAGAGACGTTTTGAGGCTTTCAAATGTTTATAGCAGTTTTGTTTATCTTTAAACTTTCAACTAAATTATCAAGTTATCTTTCTGCAAAATAAATAACAAAAGTTAAACAAAGTTATCTTTCTGCAAAATAAATAACAAAAGTATTTAAGTTTGACACAAAATAATCGTCATTAGTATGGCATTGGTGTTAAGATTGTTAGATTATGGCTCTATATTTTCTTGAATCAATGATTTTATTGAATGAATACTTACTTTCAGTGATGATCAGTTTGGCGGAAAACGTTGCAGCGGCTCTGTCGGGTGAATTCACCTTGACGAAGCTTCAAAATGAAACAATCATCATTGCCTACATCGCCATTCATCCTTACAATCAGGATAACAAGGTAAATATCTTGAGATTTCTCAGAAATCATTAAGATTTGACACTTTCAAAAGCCTTCTTTCAGCTAGGAAACTCGAACTTTTTCTCGGCTCATTTCGCAATATATTTGTGTTTCTTTGGCTTATTCTTCTCAGCAATGGTGATCGTTTACTGTAGCTGTCGAATATTGTACGATATACGGAATGTTCCGATGGGAGAAAAGTCGAGATGTGTGCAGATACATCTATTTAAAGCTTTAATCATACAAGTAGGTTGCGAAGAGCAAAGAATACTTTGAAAAAAGTGTTACAGTCGACTGTAAAAGTCATCCAATAGTTAGCTTGAATATCATAAAGTATTTAGTCATCCGTGCCCATCATCTGTTGTTATATCCCATTCATTTTTGTGCTTCTCTCCGCGAATTTCATCGTCGGATTGCAGAAAGTGGCCGCTATTTCTCTGCTGTTCTCGGCTTGGTCAATCAGCTTCTAATCATTTTAAGGATTCCAATTTCAGGTATCCCGTTCTCGATCCCCTATTGGTCATCTATTTTGTTGTCGATTATCGTCGTATCATTCGTGGATGTCTTTCACGACTCAAAACCATCACAAAGAGTCAAGTTCGCGTTCGAGCCGCCAGCTATGTCGAAAACTCCTTTTGATACACTAATAATAATAAAGATAATAAAGCTAATAAACTTTATCAAGAGTACCTCTACAAAAAAAGCCATTATAACACTTAAATTCCTAGTTGAACTTTTCAAGCTGGCGACAAGCTAACGATAAGCTAGCGATAAGCTAGCGATAAGCTAACGAAAAAGTATCGTTTATGCAATTTGTAAGTCTGGCCTGGTTTCTAAGCCTTTCACAAGGTTTCGAAATCAACTTACAACTTCTAAACTTACAAAATAATCCGATAATTTAAAAATTAACTGATAGCTCTAGTTCCTTTTTCACTATCAAGATCATCTGTTTCTTCTCTTTTTTTTCTTCTTTTTCAAAACTCTCCCCAAAAAAAGTTATCTCAAATTTGAAAAAACTGAAACTGCCATTTCACTTTTTTGTTGAAAGTTTTCAGATTTTTTTCAACACAAAAAAAATCCTAATCAAATTAGAAAAATTATTGATCACCGAAACAAGTATCACAAGCAGTAAAAGATGGAAGTATTTTGTTGAAAAGATGAGACCAAATGAAAGGAGATGATTGTACAGTCGATCGGGGGAAAGCTTTATGATTGGGATTGTTTATGAACGTTTATTATAGGCTGGTTGAGCTAGGATGAGACGAGTGGATGGCGGTCGAGTGACTTGGACGGCTTCCGCCTAAAGCAATCAATAAAAGTTGATAATATAATATGATAAAGTTGATGTTGATTGACTTGACTTGGCTTGACTTTGATCCCTTTTGCGCAAATTTCAGCTACGGTTTCAGCTTTCAGCTATGGGATCCAAATGAAAAAAAAAGTACATTGTTCACTGTTTGTGTTGTACTTTTGGGTTTTGAGGTTTTGATATAAAGTTACATGGAATTACAGAAGGTACTGGAGAATCAAGGCTAAAAATCACAACTCACCACAACAATCGTTTTCTGTGTCGTGCTCTCAAGTCCTTTTCTCATTTGTGGTGACGCTTTTTGAGGCTAAATTGAAAAAATCTCTCTCTAATTTAAAGAAATCTAGTGTTTTATCGCCTTTTCTTTTCCCCGAATCAATGTTAGTGGAAAGCAGGTGGATGAAGAGAAAGAACTGAGAACAGAAAGAACTGAGGCAAACAAAGGGGTGATTTAATATGACTTGAGCTTTTGCAAAACCTCATCAGGGTCACCCATGAATCGTTCTAATTGTTGTTGATAGTATTTACTGCCGTCTGAAAGTTTGGAATTAGTTGGTCGGTGAGCACAAACCTTGTATTGGGTGGAGATGTATGGTGGAAGGAAGAGAACATTTCTCCCGGGGTATTTATATTCGGCGGTGGTGCGAATGACCGGTTGCAATTGAACCGGATGACCGCTGATACCTGAGGAGAAATGAAAGGACAGGTAAAGATTGGAAATCGTTTTTGTAAGATCTACGATAGAGTCTTAAAGGTACTGTGGCTGGTTTTAGATCTTTGAATATCTTCCTTGAATAAGTTCTGCTTTTACAGTCTTAAGACCTGAATGCTTTTGCACGAACGGTGTTTCTCTAGCTTGAAACGCAGAAGAAAAAGCAGAGACAGGGCAGAGTAAATCTTGAAGAACAAGTCTAACCATAAACTATAATCAAAATCAAATCAAAGTTATCATCAATTATCAATCTGATAAGTAACACTTATATTTGATAAAATAACCCCACTTTAAACGATACTAAGGTAAGCCAATTTAAAAGTAAAGGATTAAAGAAATACAACTTATTTAGGTGCTTTTTGTTAAATTTTACTACTAGATAGTTATGCTAGTTACTACGTACACTACTGGACAATGAAATATCATATTTGAAAAAAGATCGTCACTTTCGCACGTCTGTAACTCGCTTTTCTTTTCCGTATTTCTAAATATTAATATTACCATTGTGTAGCGCTTGAAAAGCGCTTTCAGAAAATGTATAACACTAATAGTTTAAACTCAAAGACAAGGGGAGTTACAGACACGCGAAAGTGACGATCGCTTTTCAAATATGATATTTCATTGTCCAATGCTGTATTAGTTAGAGAATCTCGGTTTAGTGAGAACAAAAGAATAGCCAGATTGATAGTGAATCCCTTTCACCCTCCAGTTTACAACTTACGTTTTGCCATCTGCATCATTGCCAACATTTGCATTTGTTGATAGTAGCTCATTCCTAAAGTTTAGTCAATAATTAATAATTCATAGGCATATTGGATATTTTAGTATTGTTATAATTAGAGTGTGTTCCTCGCGAGTAAGTAATTACTTGGGTCAAATTTGCATGAGTAATCTTTACTCGATTAATCGACGTTTTTGGTCGAAGAAACTACGAGTAATCCTCTTTACACGTCGGGTAAATTGAATATCTTTACTTGTGACGGGAATTTGCCACCAAAACAGTCACGGCTGAATATCTTTAAAAACTCGTCGCTCGTGATTTTTTTTGCAATAATTTTCGCTAAAAGTACGGTAATTGTTCCGAAGTGTGCGTTTTAAAAAACGCATCACTCGTGAGGAAAACACTCTAATCATAAGACTGTAGTTGCAGTTAGCTCACCTTGTGACTGCATCAAATGCATCATAGCCATCATTTGGAGAGGTTGAGTGAGACCTAAACCTCCTTTTTAAATACATACCGTAAATACTGTAATAGTACCCCACCGCCCTCGTACAGTCGCGTAGTCGCAAAGGTTTTTTAGTATTTTATTTTTTTCAAAGCGCCCGTACTTTCAAAAAATGCGTCTTTGGTATCAAAAAATAGCTGAAATTCGGGGCTATTTTTTGATACCTAAGCGCGCATTGTAGCATAAACCAGTGTCGAGAAAAATGCGTTCAAAGCTAGACTACGCAACGCTCCGCACCGTCATTATGGGGGTGGGGTACTATTACAGTTTTTCTGGTAGTATGTTTTGATAAAAAAATTAGTCTACTTGAAAAGACAATAGGATTAGATTATATGTATTAGGAAAGATTTGAAATGATTTATCTAAACAGGCAATAGAAGCCAGGGAAAGTGTCTTCAGTGCTGAAAGAAAAATCGATTCAAAAAAAGAAGCTTACCCAGACTGTTACATATGTATTGTATGTACAGTTGTCTTAGCATTCCTAAGAATATCCGATTTTACAATACAGTGATTTCAATATCTCCTTTCCAACTCACCTTGTTGTCCTCCACTCATTCCACCACCGCCCATTCCCCCGCTTAACCCCATCATCATCGGGGAGAACCCAAGCGAGCCCAATCCCATCGATTGAAGGAAAAGCTGTTGCTGAAGGTACTGTTGGATAGTTTCCGAAGAGATATCCTTGTAAGCCGAGGGAATTTGCACAACGGTCACAAGAGGAGACTTGCATTCTGAAATGTGAATGCCGGTAATGGTTTTAACATTCAATTACCAAAGCAAGGTTTCGGATAGTAGTAGACGGCTGGGATTGGCTGGGTTGGGGTCTGAAAATCGAATGTTGGGAACGTTTTTGACTTCTTGAACCTGTTGTCTTTGTTGATGGCTGTAGTACTGGGCTTGGGCAGAAAACAGGAGACAGAGTAACAAGCATAGAGATTTCATCATTTTTGGAAATCTGATAGTGAATTTGAAAAACTATTAGATTAAGCTGGAAAACAAGAAAAACACATAACTAAAGAGAGTGAGCTTTGAACTTTTAAAAACGGTGAAGTCCGGCGGTAAAATAAGAAAAATTGAGCTTATTGATAGGAAAACTTGAATTTGTGCATATTGTAGGTACAAGAGAAAAAGAGGGTACAAGCGAAAATACCGTATTCTCTCTAATAGAGGTGCACTCTTTAATAGTAGTGCACTCTCTAATAGTATTGCGGTCCAGGAGGGGTTGAGAAAATAGTAATGCGCACTACTATTAGAGAGAATACGGTAATCTTGATTCTAGCTCAAGAAAAATTTTGGCTCCAATTGATGAATTTGGTTCCGGCTGAAGAGAATTTTCGAGTGTACGCCGTGAGAGAAAAAATTTATGAAGCCCGGTGGTGGATGTTCGCGAAGCATCTAAATAAAATCTCGGGCGAGAGATCGACAGAAAAGAACAGCCTTGAATTTGGGTAATCACCAAAAACCGTTCCCTTTTTTTGTGATTGGAATGGAATCTCGCGGGGAAAAACCGTTCTCCGACCCACGCAAAACGAGAATTGAAAAAGAAAAGAAAGAGTGGACACATGAAAAGATCATTTTTCGGATAGTCAAGAAAAACGAATTGGGGAAAATGGTGAAAAAAAAATTGCTTCGTGTATGGAAAAAAGATCGGCAGCACCCTACTCACAAATCGTGGATATATCATTTTTTTCATTTGGGTAAAAAAAAGAGAAAGGCTCTTGTTGAAATACGATTTTTCTCCCGTAAAAATCACCCACATTTTGGGTAGTGAAGGAGGCTTTTTCTCAATGAACATATCAAAAATTTTTTTTTTGGTATTAGATTACAGTGATCAGAAATCGGAGGAATGGGAAAACCTGAGAAAATCGAGAGCACCGGAAAATGTGATTGATCTGTACCACCTGCGACAGAGATTACGGTAAACTTGATGAGAAAGCTTGATTAAAATCTAAGATCTACATTGACCACCGACTAATCCAGAGTTTATTTTACAATCAAGAACGAGGATTTCGGGTTCGGGTTCGGGATGCTACACAAGTGCAAAGAACGCTCTTCTTACAGTATGCTGCAGTACAATGAATGTTTTGATGTAGAGATTACGGTAGAAAAATAAATACTGCCTGTAAAAACATTACGGTTACAGACTAGCCCCGTTTTTCACAATGCCTACATTTTGGCTGAAGAAACATCGAAATTCCAAAAAAAAACTGAGAAAGCTCAAGTGAAAATTTGCTCTTTAGTTTAAGAAAGCTAAAGTTATATAACCAAAATTCCATAGTAGGTAAGTGAAAAAACCCATTTTGGGGTGTGATTTATGTATTCGTGGCAGAAAAACTATCTTGTGTCAAAAAGGGTTATCGGCTGGGATTTCAGTTTTTTGCTAGATGCCATTGAGCAGTAGTTGCATTTTTCCAAAACTTCAAAATGAATAACCAGACGCGAATAAAACACCAAAGATCAAATATTAGGTGAAGTTAGAGAACGTCAGGTCAAGTGAGTAGTTCATTAAAAATGGCTGAACTATGCGCATTGTCGCAGAAGGAGAAGCAGTCTAAAAATCCGGCAATCCATAAAATAATCTGCTAGTGAGCAAAAACTAACCATAAGGATCTAGATAAGTTTTGTGCGGAAGTTCGAACTTTGGAAGTTTTTGAAAATATGCGATCGAAAAGTTTATACGCTCGCTTTATATACTGCGCTTTATATGCTTTATATGCTTTATATGCTCGTGACAATCACACAAAACTCAATATATTCAGTTATTCAAAATTTAATGGTAAAACGCTATAGTTTTCGAGTGTCCCCTCTCAGAATTTTTAGTTTTTAGTCTCTTTCTCAAAAACTACTAGATGGTTCTGGGAGTTCAAAATATCATTCGATAGCAAGTTTTTTTGCGCATCCCCTTTACTATCACTTTTTTTTACAAAATATGCGTATTTAATTCTAGTTTTACCACTTTTATTTGCTATATACGTTTTCAATAAAAATCCCAGAATATTCAACTGTACACATACCGTAAATACTGTAATAGTACCCTACCGCCATAATGACGGTGCGGAGTGTTGCGTAGTCCAGCTTTGAACGCGTTTTTCTCGACACTGGTTTATGCTACAATGCGCACTTAGCTATCAAGTCTTAGCTATCAGCTAAAATAGCTGAAATTCAGGGCTATTTTTTGATACTAAAGACGCATTTTTTGAAAGTACAGGCACTCTGAAAGAAATGAAATACTAAAAAACTTTTGCAATTTTTGCGAGTGTACGAGGGGAATACTGTTACAGTATTTACGGTAGGTATATCACAGGGGGACACTTTAGGAAGAGTGCTCTCCCTCTTTACACTTTGTAGATTTTCTCGCCACTCAATAAGCTGCGCAAAAAAATTGCGGAAATTAGCCTACCCCAAATTTTTCTTTCTTTGCCACTCTTTTCAAGATATTCATTTAATCAATTGAATTGATGACTTAAGCCTTAAAATCACAAATTGAAACTCCCCCGACAATTTCTTTTTCTTTGAAATTAGAAAGCTTGTTTTCATTTTGAGAATCCCTCCAAAAATTTCATATTCTAGTTTCCTATTCAGTCCCGACAGTGCATCCAGCATTTTCCCGCTCAAATTTTTCCAGCCACATAATATTTACCACTTAGAGAGCGGGCAGGCACACAGAAGTTCTTTTGATCTTTCTCAGCGTGTGTTTTTGTATTTTGGAACTGGAACCAGAGCCAAAAGAAAAAGCGAAAAGAGGCGGTTGGTCACGAGTAAAGTTGTGTACTTTATTTCTTTTGGCTTAAGTATTTAGGATTTTCGGATACGGGAATCTTCCAAAACATGTTTTTTTTTATTGGAATCAATTGGATATTAGCTTAGAAGCATATAAAACAGAAAAATAACGACCGCTCGACACTTTTTTCAAAATCAATTATTTTTGGAGATTTTGAAAATTCAAGTGACCTCCCTCATGAATTTTGTCAAAATATGCAGTCAGGGCTATAGACTGACAGTAGTAACGCATTTGCGTCGTCTGCTAAAGTCGAAAGGTAGCGCCTAAAACAAAACCGCTACCTTTTATCTGTCTTATTCGCCTAATTAGCCTTAATTTCTTTCGTTTTTTGTCTTGTTGTTTATTTCTTAATAGCAATTTGATTATCTTTGAAATTTAGATAGAAAATCGCTTCTATGACGGATAATATGGAAATATCACCGCAAAATTCGGACCAGGATGATTCTGACGACGAAAAAAGGGTAAACTTTGACGATTAACATGTAGTAACTAAATGAACTTTGATCAAATTGGCTTATTTTGTTCAAATTAGGAAAGGGAGATTGAATTAAGTACTATGCAACATTATAAATGCTTTCTAGAGATCACGGGGGCGACGAGAACACCTGATAAACCTGCCATCACACCGAAGACGGACAAAATCGGAAGTTGATCATGATCATTATCAGGTTTATCCGAGGTTTTATTATTGGCAAAATTTTATTGCTGTTTAGATGATCAACGATCGGATAGTTGAGGATATAACGCTCGATTTTATGTACAAACCAAGAACCCTGACAATACTTAGTTTTTTCTGCGCCGTGCTTGTTTATCTGGCTTTCAGAAAGTTGGTGCTTGGTGTTTTCGTTGAGTAATTATTATTTTAGTGATACGAATGCCGATGATAATCTGTATCAGGGTCTGCTTGGAGCTCTTTCTTTATTTTTGGTCGTCTCAGCGTTGGCTTTCCCAAATGGTCCATTTATTCGCCCTCATCCGATTGTTTGGAGAACCATCTTCGGTCTCAGCGTTGCTTACATGGTGCTTCTACAATTTTGCCTATTTTTGGTGAGCATTTTGTAATATTCTTAAATATTCTTTTATTATTCTTAAATATAAATAAATTGTGTTTAGACGTATGACCAAATCAAAGCGATGCTAGTTTATTTTGATCCGGTTGGGCTTTCTGCAGAGAAACTCGTGGAAAAAGAATACGCTGTCAATTGTTCGGATCTTTCTTGGGCGAGAGTCTGGAGTCATATGGATATTTTTGCCGTAGGTTTGTTTAAAAACTGAATTGTGTAAAGCTAAAAGCTAAAAAGTTTAGGGCATTTCCTTGGATGGGCGATGAAGGCGCTGCTGATTAGACATAATAACATTTGTTGGCTAATAAGTTGTGCCTGGGAATTTACAGAGGTATGTTTTGTATTAACAAAACACCTAATGCAGATAATTTTAGGTTATCTTCACTCATTTGTTACCAAATTTTGAAGAATGCTGGTGGGATGCAATCGGCTTGGATATTTTCTTGTGTAATGGACTTGGGATCTTTGTTGGACTGAGGATTTCCAATTTCTTATCGATGAAGAGTTTTCATTGGGAAAGCATCAAGTAAGATTTCTTTTAATTTGGTTAACATATATCTATCTTTTTAGGGATATCAAATCCACCCGAGGAAAAGTTAGACGAGCTGTACTACAATTTACGCCAGAAAGTTGGAGTCAAAATAACTGGACGGATGTCTATGCAATCAAACGAACATTTGCTGTTTTCCTGTAAGTTTGACGTAACTGCTATATTTCGATCTTTAAATCCTTTAGTTTCGTCATGATCTGGCTTATCACCGAGTGAGTTTCAGTTTTAAATGTATTCTCTTCTGGGTCTTGTGGGTTTGAATACGCTTGACGTAAAAAGTAGTTCTTGGACTTGTCTAATACGGTAGTGGTTATATTTGTTTTTATGATTCATCTTATTTTGAAAATTTAGATTGAATACTTTCTTCTTGAAGCACATATTTGTCATCGATACGTCTCATCCCGTTGTGTTCTGGAGGATTATACTTATTGCTTTGATCTCGGCACCCTCTATAAGGTATTATCTCTTTTGCATCCAACTTTATGCAAATAGTTTAGGCAATACTATGCCTTTGCTACGGATCCGCGAGTGAAACGCCTTGGAATGCAGTGCTGGGTGTATTGCGCCGTGTGTGCCCTTGAAGCGGCTATATGTATTAAGGTTTGTTTCTTGTTTGGCCTTGCCTTGTTACGAAAAACTTTTTTAGGTCGGAAGAGATCAATTCCAACCGGCAAAACTCTTACTCATAGCAGCATGGATTTTCTTCATGTTTGCGATGACTTTTGCCACTATCCTTCTCTCAGTAAAGTGGGCGGAAAGGAACAAAGATGTATGGCATGGGAGAATAACTTTTTAAAGTGATAATTTTAGCTGACAAAGAAAGTCGAAGTCGAAGGAACAGAAAGACGAGCGTACATCGATAGTTCTTGCGAAAATCTGGGCATGCTAGACGATGAAGTAAAGTTTATTCCTTTGATTACAATTTTGGCGCTTTTCAGGTCAAAGAGCGGCGCCGACAGCTAGGCGTTGACTCCAAAAAGAAGTTATGAAAAATTGCCAAACAGTAATTCAGGTGCCTCTTTGTTTTGTTTATATTAATTTCGTTTAAAATATTGTTAACTTTACATTCCGTTGTTGGAACATTTTTAGTCCGAGCTTACTAGCTAGTTTCTGTTGAAATTATCTCCATCTCTATCTTGAGTATAATTTGCAAGATTGCTCATTCTCTTTATACAGGTATTTGCTTTTAATAAAGTGCTTTTCTATGAAACTTATCAAAACATTTATTGTTTTACAAACATGATTTTACCTATTAGAGTCGACCGAACTTCCTAAAACCTAGCCTTTGGAATAAAAAGTGAAAAGAAATCGTCAGTTTCTTTAGCAGAAACCGCAAGTTTTTGGGCATTGTTGTCTCATGAGGGACATGTAGCGTGAATTTGTGCAGTACATCATTAGGCTCGGACAGTCGTTCATCCCGGTCGAGGGATTTGTCTTGTCAACGCATGATCCTAGAGCCTTGTTTGATAGGAATCTTGTTTTTCACACCTGATGAAGTGACAGCCGTGTAACCATATGAACCACAACGACCACAAGTCTTTGGACATTGATCGGTCATCACTAAATTGTGGGGAGCACGTTAAAGCTTTAGTCGATTCTCAAACGTCATTTCATTAGCAGGTAAGTTTACCTTGATAGTAAGTGGAGTCGTTGCAGAGGTAGGCGAGTCTTGTGCAATCCGAGGTACCAGTTCTGGGGTTGACTTTGTCCATACAGGTAGATCTAGCTAAACTTTATAGGTCAGGTTTTTGCTTGTAATCTATTGGGTACTTGAAACTCCACTGTTGACAAGTTTGTTTGCTGGGCAGCATACTTGAGTTCCTGTGAATGTGACACAAGTTTCCCCTCCATTGCACGAGCCGCTGATACACGCTAAATATTTTTAATTTAGATGGCTTTTCGATATTTGCTTCTTTGTCATTGATATTTAAATTCGCTTACGTCCATTTCCAGCATCGGTACAGGTTTGAGTGCCCAAGGCAAACTTGGAGGCGATTACCAGCAGGCAGATGTAACGAATCATGGTTAAGGGATTTGAAAGTTTGAAATTAGTCTTAGTATTTGAAGCGCTTATATACCTTTGATTATTGGGTTAAGCTTTGTCGAATAGCTCTTTAGAACAAAGATTTGTCTTTGTGTGGTCAGCGCGTTTTTTTTCGCGGATCAGCTTGCCAAATTTGCATACGTGCGCGTGAATCTCCAAACAAAAACTTTCATCGAGTCCATCTGTTTCAATAATTCGGTCCCACGTAAATTTTGATTTTTCAAAAACAATCGACGTAGAGAAATTGAGAACTTGAAAATTGATAAATTGAAAATACTGTGGCTAAATACTTTACAGTTATATCTAACTGTCTAATTTCACTTTCGAACATTCAAATTTTCCCCACTCGCCCATTCATTGTGGGGCAAGATTTGACACGTTCAAGACCTCTTTTGCCTGCCCTAAAGGAAGAAATGGCGCCCTTTTTTGACGTCACACACTACCACAGTATACCGGTCTTGACTCGTTCATTTGAAAGCATATATAAAGGGCAGGGGAATATCCAGGGGAGTCATTTTTCAGTTTGTATCTGCACTCCGGGCTGTTTTTGCGAAGAAAATGATTGTGTGATTCCTTTTACCTAATTGAGTTTGGTACGTTTGACCTGGCTTTGAAATATACCGCGCTCTATATTATTACGCAAACCCATACGAGTTGATGGTCCATTTTTCAAGTTCAATAATATATGCGCCTTGACCGTGGTGATTCATCGTAAAGACGGGCGATTTTCGCCACATTTTTGGCAAAAAGGTGGGCCTTTTGTTCATAAATTAGCCACGTTGCCTGCGATTTTTCACTCCACTTTCTTGGATCAGATTTGAAGCTGCATAAACATTCTGCGAAAATGACTGTAGCCGGTAAGTTTTATATTGAGAAATAGGGAATCAATAGTTTGATTGGAAATTTTCTCTTGGGGTGTTTTTGTTCGGTTCAGTTCAATCATTGCCTCCATCTCCAACTTTCTTGTTTTTAGACGGTTTCTTGGGGTGAGACGTCTTGAGTTTAAAAAAAGTTGACCGTCTGTCTTTATTTTTGCATGTTAGATACGGAAAAATTTACTTTTAAAATATCGATTTTCCCTGTATTGGTCTTGAGGACTATAAAGTGTGCTAACGCCCCTCCCTTTTTTATCTTTCGTTTTGGCGGGAAACTGTGACTCGGCCTTTTGAATGTTTTGCGATAGATAAGCCTTCTATGTTCAAGTTTTCTTTAGATGTTTTGTATAGTTTTGAAAACTTTTGGTTTATTTGTTGGAAACTCAGTAGCTCTAGTAACATACTCATTGGGACTTTAAACTGTTATTTTCATGTTCATTTTATTTCGTTACAGATATGGGCAAAGCGAAAGACGACGAAGATGCCCTGCTTCCAAGTCACCATCGCACTCCAACCACTGTTCAATCCACGCCGGGATCAATTGCCTTCAAATGCTACGTGATTGCATCGATGTGCTTTTTATGGACGGGCTATACACTTGCTGTTCGCTACACCCGCTCCACCACAAACCCCTCCGAATTGTACGCATCGACGACTGTCGTGCTTTCCGGAGAATTTATCAAGCTGTGCATCACTTTACTGATGATATTTCGGGAAGGTGGACATTCTATGAGCAAATTTGGAACGACGCTAAACAAATTCTATTTTGGACAGCCAATTGAATTGGCAAAGATGTCGGTTCCATCACTTGTATATGCTCTTCAGAATAACTTGGACTTTGTTGCATTGAGCAACTTGGATGCTGGCGTTTATCAAGTGACCACCCAATTGAAAGTCGTGACAACCGCTCTCTTCATGATGGCCTTCCTTGGGCGCAAGTTTTCAGGGCGACGTTGGCTGGCCATATTCCTCTTGTTTGTTGGGGTCGCTTTTGTACAAATGGATGCCGTACAACAACAACCAACTAAGAAAACGGCTGGCAAAGAGAACTATTTCGTTGGCATCATTTCTGTTCTCACTACATGTATCACCGCTGGATTTGCTGGAGTCTACTATGAGAGAATGCTGAAGGATGGAAGTGCCACACCATTTTGGATTCGAAATCTGCAGATGTACAGTTGTGGAGTGTTGGTCACGGGAATCGGATGCTTCAATGACTTTGATATCATTAGCAACAAGGGTTTCCTCTATGGGTACGACGAAAAAGTCTATGCAATTGTTGGACTTCTTTCTTTGGGTGGAATCTACATTTCTTTGGTGATGAAGTACTTGGATAATCTTTACAAATCATTCGCTTCTGCAGTTTCTGTGATATTTGTCGTAATTCTCTCTTTGTTTATTTTCGAGGGTATTTCTATTGGAATGTTTTTTGTGTTCGGTACGGGACTCGTTTGCTTTGCAATTCTTTTGTACAATACTGTTGATGAATAACCGGATTTTACAGTTCAACTGCACATGCCGTACTAGTCTGATATGAACCTATTGTACTCAGCCTTAACACCGACTGTGATGCTTGCATTTATAATAGATTCTAGTCTTTACCTTATAACAATAATGTTATTTACTTTTTTGCTTCTATTTCATTTTTGTACTTATAATTAATGCATTTACGTAATAATAATGATCGAATTTAGAATGACTACTCCCGTGAAGCTGGAGAAGCATCCGTCGACGTTTGTTCTGAAGCGTAATGGACAAGCCCAGGCTGTGCATTTCGACAAGATCACCAGCCGAATTCAAAAGCTCAGCTATGGCCTTAACACCGACTTTGTTGACCCGGTAAAAAAGTAGTTTAAATATTTTATGAATTCCAAAGTTTAGATCCTGGTTGCTCAAAAGGTGATTGCCGGTATGTACAAAGGAGTGAGCACCGTTGAATTGGACAATCTGGCCGCCGAAACTGCTGCCTCGTTGACCACAGAACATCCCGATTACGCGATTCTTGCCGCTCGAATTGCCGTTTCTAATCTTCACAAGAAGACTGAAAAAGTTTGTTTAGATTTCTAAATTAAGAAAATGAATCGTTTAGGTTTTCTCGGAGGTCATGGATAAAATGTTTAACTATGTGAATCCAAAAACTGGACAAAAACAACCAATGATTGCGGATGAAACCCATGACATTGTTATGAAACATGCCGATGTAAGTTGTAGACTACTCAGGAAAATTTACTTAAACATTTAGCGTCTCAACTCGGCTATTGTCCAAGATCGCGACTTTTCCTACACGTATTTCGGATTCAAAACACTCGAGCGCTCGTATTTGCTGAAGATTGGCGGGGAGGTATGAATATATGTACATTAACCCGATTAATAAGTTGTTTTAGATTGTTGAACGACCTCAGCATATGTTGATGCGAGTGTCTGTCGGAATTCATGGCGAGAACATCGATGCTGCTATCGAAACCTACAATTTGATGAGCGATCGATTTTTCACTCATGCAACTCCAACTTTGTTCAATTCGGGCACGAGAAAGTATTTTTTTTCTGAAGCAACTACAAAACACGACTTTAGGGCGCAACTCTCCTCATGTTTCCTACTTATGATGCAAGAGGACTCAATTCACGGTATCTATGAGACTTTGAAACAGGTAACCCGTTTCTTGCACAAAATGTAAGATGTCGTTTTTTAGTGTGCGTTGATTTCCAAATCTGCTGGCGGTATTGGGGTCAACGTTCACAATATTCGAGCTAACGGAAGTCTTATTGCTGGTACCAACGGTCAATCGAATGGCTTGGTAAGCTTTGTGTTCGGCTTTTCATTTTGTTGATTGTGCCTAGGTTCCCATGCTTCGTGTCTTCAACAATACTGCTCGCTATGTGGATCAAGGGGGAAACAAACGACCTGGTGCTTTTGCCATTTACTTGGAGCCATGGCACGCTGATATTTTCGAGTGAGCTTAATTCTTTTACTTATTTAATGATGATTTAGGTTTGTTGCTTTGAAGAAAAACACTGGACCCGAAGAAGAGCGTGCTCGCGATCTTTTCTACGCCTTGTGGGTTCCTGACCTCTTCATGTCGCGTGTCGAGAAAGATCAGCATTGGTCATTGATGTGTCCTTCTGAATGTCCAGGACTTGCTGATTGTTGGGGAGAGGAATTCGAGAAACTCTACATAAGGTACTGATTTAACTTTCTTATTTAATAATTTTTTCTAGATACGAAACGGAAGCTCGATTCAAGAAGCAAGTTAGAGCTCGTAAGCTTTGGGAAGCCATTGTCAGCAGCCAAATTGAAACCGGCACTCCATATATGGTGAGGGTTTTAACAAACTATCTTTCTAAAAGTGCTATTTAGCTTTACAAAGACGCCTGCAATCGCAAATCGAATCAACAAAATTTGGGAACTATAAAGTGCTCTAACTTGTGCACGGAGATTGTGGAGTATACCAGCAAGGATGAGGTTGATTATTGAAGAAAAATGTTTGCAAATTTGATTTGCAGGTTGCGGTGTGCAATTTGGCGTCAATTGCTCTGAATCGATACGTTACCGCCGAGCAAACTTTTGATTTTGCTCTCCTCCATTCCGTTACAAAAGTCATTACAAAGAATCTCAACAGGTCTTTTTTTACTGGTAGTCAGAATGTCAAAAAAAATTTCTAGGATCATTGACATCAACTACTACCCAGTTCCTGAAGCAGAGCGTTCAAACATGCGCCACCGACCTATCGGAATTGGTGTTCAGGTATTTGTTAGCTGCTAGCTATAATAAATAAAGTATTTTAGGGGCTTGCTGATGCGTTTATGCTCATGCGCTATCCGTTCACTTCGGAGAAAGCTCGAGACCTCAACAAGAGAATTTTTGAGACTATTTACCATGCGGCGTTAGAGGCTAGTTGCGAACTTGCTGAGACTCTTGGACCTTACGAGGTATGAACAATGTTTCGAAACGACTCTGAAAACCTTTACTTTAGACATATGTTGGAAGTCCAATGAGCAAAGGGGAACTTCAATTCGATCTATGGAACGTTATACCAACTGACCAATGTGATTGGAAAACTTTGCGCGACAAGATTCAAAAGTAAAGTTGCACATCGTTGAGTCAAAGCTTTTTACCTTTGCTTTCAGGCACGGTGTTCGCAACTCATTGCTTCTTGCACCCATGCCAACTGCGTCAACCGCTCAAATTCTTGGAAACAACGAATCAATTGAGCCCTACACTTCAAATATCTATTCGCGGCGTGTGCTTTCGGGGGATTTCCAAGTAATCGCCTAAACTTTTATTAACACTTTTTTTACTTTAGATTGTGAATCCGCACTTGTTGAAGGATCTTGTTGAACTTGGACTTTGGAGCGCTGATATGAAGATGCGACTGATTGCTTCACACGGCTCCATTCAAAATATTCCCGTATGAAAAACAAGTGCCATTTTTTTAAAAATTCTTTAATTTAGGACATTCCAGCGGAGATTAAAGAGTTGTACAAAACTGTCTGGGAAATTAAGCAGAAGGATATCATCGAGATGGCTGCTGATCGCGGTTTGCAATTCATGAGATTACAGTTTCAAATGTTTTTAGGTGCTTACATTGATCAGTCACAATCGCTCAACATTCACATCGCTCAGCCAAGTATGGCCAACATCACCTCAATGCATTTCTTTGGATGGAAGAAGGTGGCTCTAGGTTACAAATGAATCAAATAAGGTATCGTTTAGGGCTTGAAAACTGGAATGTACTACCTCCGAACCAAGCCAGCGGTGAATCCGGTGCAATTCACTGTGGACAAGACGGCTATCAAGAAACAAGAGCAAGACGAGCTCACCCGCAAAGTTGCCGAGGCCAAGATTGGAGACGCCGAGGAAGGATGTCTGATGTGCTCCGGATAATTTTATTTTACTTTGAAGTTTTGTACAATTTCTATGTTTTTGTTTTGCTCAATGTTTTTCACTTTTTTATTTTGCCGGTAGACCTAAAAATCTGATCTCTTATTTTTTTAAAAAGTATCTCAACTCTGCCTATCGTTCTCGCTTAAATTTTTGGTCTCATTCAAAGTTTTTAAAATAAATTGGTTTTCAAATTGGACTTTTTTAAACGACATTGATTACATGTTTTACTTTGCATTAGTACTTTTCAAATTGGACTGAATCGATTATCGGAAAATCTATACACAGCGACAGTGTGGGAACGGCACGAGAGTCTGTGTTTTGATTGTTTTGGAATGGTACTGGTGCAAACTTTTTGACGGAGAGACTCGCATCGTTTTTGAGATAAAAGCGCTTCAACGTTCTTGTGTGGAGTCCATCTTTCCTACATCGCCCCATCTCGGCATCTCTGTGGTTTGCCTCCATTTCGGCAACGCAACTAAACGCTTTACATTTCTACTCACCACTCATTTGCGTCTTTTTAAAAAGCAAACTCCTTTTCAGCAGCTAAGCTTTATAATTTTGCTTGCCTAATTCTTGGTTCTTATTATTCTTATTCTTTAATTTTCATTATATTGTAACACTATCTGATTCTGATTTAATGTTTTAGATGCGGACTTCCGAGCTACTGCAAAATTTTTCCGAGCCTGAAGAGGAGGGCTTTTGGTTGGGAACTGATAGACGAGATGGCTCAAAAGGATTTTTCCTCACCGATTGTGGAGGTAGTGTAGATTTTTCTTAGTTGTGATGATATTATTTAGGCTTCTTCAATGATATGTTGGCTGTGGCTCGAGATGAACACCTCAATGTTTTTGATGTCTTCAAAAAAGAAACTCTTTGTCAAAAGTCTTTCGAGGAGGACGATGAAATCACTTCAGTTGTTTATCATCATTTACTCTCAAGCGACCCAGAAGGTACTGAAATTTTGTACTCCTACAACTTTATTACTGCTTTAGGTCAACCTGGTATCCTTGTTGGGGTTAACAACATGAAAAAACAAAGATTTCTCGTTTATGTGTTGACAATAAACATGGGAGAAGCTACGGTTTTACGAAAAGTTAGAATAGCTCATCCGGTAAGTTAAATTAAGGGAAAATATGTATTTGATTTTTATAGGTTACGAGTCTTCGAACGCTTGTGAGCAGTCATCGCATGGAACAAGCAAAGGTTGCTCTTCACCCGAGAATGAGAACTATGCCACATGTAATTTGCGTAAGTTAGCGATTCACTTGCCAGGAACCGATTCCATTTTAGATTGGTACAAAAAATGGTCATTGCTATATTGGTCAACTGGAGGTTTCGGATAGCACAAGACCGGAGAATTGGGACGAAGAACTAACTCTTAAAATGACGGATGCTTTAAGTGAGAGTCTCATTTTTGATTAAACCCTTCTTTTTAAGAAGATTTTGCCTCTCGCGATGCAACGACATTTGAGTATCAAGCACATGGTCAAAAGCTGTGGAGATTTCCCGTGGATGAAGGTTTTGCCTTTTAAAACTTTATCACATGCTCCTAGTTTAGTGTTTGTTTCTGCTATTGGATTTGTGGAACGCGCAAGAACATTGGTAATCGGCTTGAATTTTGGAGGCATTGTTGTTTGCAGTCTTTCTGATCAACCCTCTATGTGAGTTTTGCTATGCAGTCTTAGAAATCTTGTTTTAGCGAGAGTATTCCACACCAAATGTTTCAAAGCGAACCGAAGTTTATTGAAGCAATGGTTCCCGAAAACGATCCCCGACCAAGACTCTACTTCGCGGTCGCTTTTAATTGCAGCCAAGCGTAAGTTTAAGTGTTTTACGTCGTCGTAAATTGCACTACTTATTTTGACATTCAGAACAGCTGCCGGGATAACTCTTTTTGTGATGGAATTTCCAACCGATGAAAGAGAATCTATGCACGATCCAACAAAATGGCAGTACAAGGACTTGGCTGTGATTCCATTCCTTAAGATTTCGACTCCTGACATGCGAGCATGGATATCAATGAGATGCATAGTTGGAGCTGATAGCAAATATCACGCAGAACTGAACGAAACGATATCCATTAACACGGGTATAAAGTTTGATCTAATAAATTTTGTGATGAGATTGCTTCAGGTCCAAGCGCAGCACATTCGCGCACGTTGCTTTCGTTCTTCTACTTATCACGAGACCAAGAAACGAGGCGTCTGAAGACTATGGGTGGTCTTTTCGATTTGAATCAACACTATTACAAACGACAAGTTCCTAAAATTGTTTATGATGGTACCCTTGCAAATCAGGTACTATTCAGTGCATCGATTATTTAGTACTTATCCATTACTTAGTGTCCCTTTATCAGCTTCATACACGACGTTCCCTGCAAAATGATGGAAGAATTCTATCCATTGGTTGGATTTAATTTACTATCTAGTCTTAACCCTCAATTTAGGAAGCAATGGTAGACCCAAAAGATTTGCGACGTTTTGCTTCAGATATCAGCAACGATTTGGTGTTATTTTACCCGTCTTCTTATGAGGCAAGATTTAATAATTTAGTCAATAAGTCTCTTAGTTAGTCTCTTTAGATTCCGACGATTTACTTTACTGATGGTTTGGTCGTGAGACAACTTTCTGCGTCTTCTCTGCAACAACAAGTGATTATCTTTTTGACTAGATGTGCGAATTGGGTTATTTAGGTCTTAAAGCGAATAGTCGAGAATCTCTACGAGTCACTATGCAAACCCGATGCTCCATTTGCTTGGCTTCAATCAATTGGCCTCATTCAAGCTTCGTTGGATGAAACCTTCTGCGGGCCTGATCAAGCTATGGCAGGAGTCTTGACTAATGTAGTCTACCATCATTACACAGTCGAATTGCTCAATCTTTGCAGGTACATGCTGTATTTACTTATTCATTCGGTTTTTTTTAGAAATCAAGCGAAACCATTACCTGCTGTTGTACTACAATCGGTGTTCGAATGGATTTGGAGTGAAGCCGAGCGGCAATATCAAAATATGCACAACATTGGTATCACATATATTTTCTTGTTAAATAAAATTATTATTTAGTTGATCCATTGTTCCGAGGTATGTGCGTTGAACTCAATGACGCTGATCAACGATCTCTAAATGCTTGCGAATCGATCTTTGGGTCGGGCACATTGTTTTTATAGGCTTTTACCTTTTGTTTTAGATGTGCTCAGCGAATTCTACCTTTGTACTTGGATTTGTTAAATGGCGAAGCGGCCGGTCTTTGGGAATTAAGAAGCGAGACTGCTCAGTCATTTCTTCATTGTCTTACTTTTATCTACAGTTTGCGGTGCGACAAGGTACTGGTTTTGTAGGACTTTTTACAACAATTTTTAGATGTTACCTATCAATGACCAAACGCGCAAAGTCACTCAAAGAATTAAAGAACAAATCGAATCGCGACGCATGGCAGCTACCAATCAAGGGTTTGGGAATTCTCTTTGCACAATGTTCATTCGCAAATTTTAGAAAACAACTATATATTGATGCGCTCTTGAAACGAATCCACGATCGGGTCAGAACCAAAGCTGACTTGATTTGGCTTGACCGTGATGTATCTCGATCATATCCACCAACATTATTGGTATGATTTTGATGTTCACAGATTTAAGTGTTTTTTTAGGATCTTGTTTCACTCTTCCCGATGTTCGATATCAGTGGAAAATTAAAAAGATCACTCATCCTGTATTACTTACTTGATTATCACAGTGCCAATGGATCCAACAATTTATTAGTAATCACCATTTTTATAAAAGTATGTGATTTTCTTTAAGATGGCTCTCGAGGATTTCTATGCTGGAAATGGAAGAATGTTGCGCTTTACAAAAGAAGAGTTGCGATCGGTGTATGCAGAATGGCTTGGTGACGTTGCGCTAGAGGCTGCGGACAAAAAGGAACAAAACAACTCCCTTAAAACCGACAAAGATGCTTCCATTCTCGATATTAGAAAAGAACTTTTTGAAGCGACGACCAAACTCATGAGTTCGGAAGGTTATAACGCTGGTGAAGCTGTTCGGATTAAAGGTTTTTTTACTTGTTGAATACAACAATATGTTTGTTATAGATTTGATGGAGCGAGTTTATGGGCATCCTTTGGATAAAATCATGTGGAATCTACTTCTTATTGATCATGCTTTCTATGACGATGTTGACATTGAGGTAGATATTTTTACAGAATAAAGCTAACTGCTATCTGGTATTCACGTGTTTGTTTTTAGATGGAAGTTCCTAAAGAGCTTGAAGGCGATCAGCGTGTTCAAAGGTACTTGCTGATGGTAGAATATCTTCGCTTATCAAATTACAAAAGCGTGAAGGAACATACAAAGAAATACGCTTTGTCCGAAGAGATTATGAGTAAATATCGAGCGAGTCAGTTTTTACGTATGAATCCGAAAAGTTATTTGTTTAGAAAAGAACGAATCGGAGAATCTGCCTGTGAAAAAAGAATCACCTCGTACCAGCATCTTTCGAGCGGAAAGTTATGCAAAGAAGCTGAAACAAATGGTAGAAAGTTTTTGCGTGTCATCCTATATTTAATTTCAGAACCTTGACGCAAAACGGTCCGATAATTTGCTGATCACCCCAGAGAAACAAGGGGAAGCCACATTTGTGATATCACCAAAGAAGGCCAGGCTTTTACATTTTGACGATGAAGACACATCAATAAATTTCATGGAGTGAGTTAAAACTGCACTAAATCTTGTAAATAATATTTTTAGCAATGTACCATCGGAAGAGTTAGATCAACTACGTCAAGTCATTCAAACGCCAAAAGCAAGAGCCAATGCAGCTGCCCGAGCTGAAGGACACTTCCGATCAAATATGGTTACTCCTGAAGAAGTCAAGGAACTACCGCCACCAACAAGCATTTTAAGAAGTGCACATAAACGTATTTTGCAATTTCCTTCACATTTGACCGAAAGTTCAGAGACACCTACGCGTGGTAATATTCGATGGGATCCGGAAGTGGTAACACCCGTGACAACGGTTTGTTTTTTGTTTTTAGTATTTTAAACGAGTTGCTTTAGTTTTCCAATGACGAAACGCGACATGACTCGATTCCTTTCAACTTGGATGAAGATGAGGATGTACAAGAGAACAACGAGCCCCTTGAGAATGAAGAACTTTATTGTGACTCACGAGAAACAATCGAGGAACCTCCTCAATCAGGGTCATTGCAACCCGCTGAGGACCAAAAAGAAGAAAACTATTTTGGCGAAGAAAGCTTCCGCATTATCACGTGGGCATTTTTAATTTTATCATTTTATAAAGTCTTGTATATAGTCGAGAAGAGCAATCTGATAGCGACAAAATGGAATGTGAACCCGAAGAGCCGTCGATCGAGACAAATTCATCCCAACTAGTACCGAAAGACTTGAGTTCATCCAAAGAGGTCTGAGCTTTCAATAGTTCTAAGCCTTTTTGGCATTTTTAGACGATACAGACGCATTATACATACAAAGAAGAGCAAGAAGTTCATGTGAACGATCAAGTGGTGCAGAAAGTGACGAATATTGAAACAACGACAGGTTTTGTTCTTTTTACATTTGAATGAATTCTTTTAAGTGCGAATTTGCTCTATCGATGAACAACCGACCAATATCGAGCCCGAAGAGGTACCGGCGGAAGAGAATGGACTATCTGATGAGGCAGAAAGCAAGACACCGACTCCGGAACTCACAGAGATCCCTCTGATTACACCAGGACATGTGAAGTTGAACGAAAGACCTGAAGCAAAGGAAAAGTCTCCGTACTCATCTCCGAAGAAAGCTCCATCTGTATCTCCAACTAAAGAACATCTGGATATGAAGACGCCCACAAAGCTATCATCGGTTAATGATGATGCCGCTATTCGTCGTTCTTCGCGAAAGACAACACCGCGAACTAGCTTCATGATCATGCCTGAAACTCGCCGTTCACCTTCGCGCTCTACTAGGTAAGTATAAAGTAGCATAAAATTTTTCTTCAATTTTCTTTAGAAAGCTTAGCAAAGAAACCGAGCACGTGGAGAAAACCACGAATGATAGTCCTCAGAAAACCGTTGAACCATCTACTTCAAAAGGTCATCATACAATTCTAATATAAATGCTGTTGAGTTTAGCTTCTTCATCACGACAATTGTTTAATGCAGAGGCATTAAAGAGAAAGCCTATTGAACAGCGTCTGGGTATCTATTTCATTGAACTTTTTTATACTGTTTTTTTAGTAAAACTGGAAGATGTGTTGCCTCGAAAAGGCCGCAAGCCAAGAACAACTTCAGAGAGTCATGCCACAACGACTGAGGAGCAGCAACGACGAACTCCTGGAAGACCAAAGCGTGCTGTTTCTTCTACACCTTCAAAATCGAAGGTTTGTGCAATGTCTATGAATGTGCAATGGCTAGAGATTCTTCAGGACTACCCCGACCACAAGTGCAACGACTTCTGGACGATCTTCCCGTGCAGCTAGTACGGTTAAAAAAGGCACAGCGTTGGAGACTGTACCAGAAAAGATACCCTCTCCCGAAGAAAAGGTAGAGTTTATCGCAGAGAAAACATGGATTAGCGAAGAAATGTTTTTTCAGGCAACTCCACGCAGGCTATTGAGAAGCGCAACAAAAGAAAAGAGCGTCGCTCCTATAACTCCAGCTACCGGTTTGCTGCATATCTAATTTTTTTGTATTTCTTTTAATTAGGTAACTTGCAAAGAACTCCATCTGCTCGCAAAAGGACAGCTGTTGAGCCACTTGAGGATATTAAGAGGTCGCGAAAGAAGTGATACATTGTCAAAGGAATACATTTTTTGTTTGCAAATTGAGTTTTACTGATTTATGATTTCCGCAAATTTTAATGGTTCGTTTTGGGAGCTTTAAACCAATAAATTATTATTTTTTCTTTAATATTCTTTTTTATATCTACGGTTTGTTGGCAGAAATCTATCTTTTTGCTTAATGTTTCTTTTTGACTTGTCTTGTCATACGGTAGCTCGGGTGCCATTTTTGGGCGGAGAATATTCGAGAAATTTCTGCCTAATGGAGATTAAGATCAGACCCGGATTTTCTTGTGAAAGATAATAACTTAAATTTGTTTTTTCTTAAATTTGATTCTTTAGCTCTTCAGACGATGGCCACTATCGATATCACTCCTAATCAAGTTTGTTATCATTTTTTTTACAAAGCGTTTGCGTTTTAGGATGGGGGAATCCAGAAAAAAGTCGTTCGAGAGGGCACTGGGACCACTTCACCGGTTCCTGGATCGACCGTATTCGTCCACTACGTAGGAACACTTGCGGATGGCGGTGAGAAGTTTGATTCGAGTCGTGACCGAGGGGACGAGTTCAAATTTACGCTCGGACGTGAACAAGTGAGAGCTTTTGGTTTTAACTTATTTTTTATCTTAAAAGGAGACTGATCTATCTAAAACTATCGAACTTTAAGCTCTAAAACATTCATTTTAATTAAGCTTATTTACAGGTCATCAAAGGATGGGACCTTGGTGTCGCCACGATGAAGAAAGGAGAACTGGCTGAGTTCAGGATTGCGCCCGAATACGCATACGGCGCCTCGGGAAGTCCACCAAAAATCCCAGCAAACGCCACGCTCATTTTTGAAGTGGAGTTGATTCGTTGGGAGAGTGAAGATTTGTCACCAGACCGCGATGGAACAATTTCTCGTGATGTCATCGTCAAAGGAGAGGAGTTGGCTCATCCAAACGATACTAGTGACGTTGAAGGTTTTTTTAAAACTTCTAAAAACATTGACTTATTTTAGTTCATGCTGTTGGATCTTTTGAAGGACGAGTTTTCTACGATAAAGATATTACTTTTTCCCTTGGTGAGGGATCGGAGGTTTTTTTACAACACTGGTTTTTTTCCTATATCAATGTTTAGGCTGGATTGCCCGAGGGAGTTGACCGAGCTATTCGTCGTATGACTCGAGGTGAAAAATCGATAATTCATATCAAGGGAACCCGGTTTTACGTATGGTACTTCTCCTCCTGCTGAATATCAGCTCCCGTCAAATGCCCCCATTGACTTCACCATTTTCTTGAAGAGTTTTGTTAAGGTTTGTATTTTGGTGTAGTTTGTTGAATATGGATTCAATTTAGGTTCCTGCAACCTGGGAATTGACGGTTGAACAAAAACTCGAAACGGCTCAGGAGGCCAAAGAGCGTGGAACTCACTTTTTGAAAGAGGGAAAGTTCAAGCTCGCTTTGAACAAGTACAAACGAATTGAAGACCTGCTCGAATACGAGAGAACCGCTGACCCTTCCGTTAAAGAGGTAAATCTATCTTGTTTATTTTTTTATTGTCTATATCAACTTTTATTTCATTGATTTTTAGAAACGGGATGCTCTTATGGTTGCTGCATATTTGAACATTGCCCTCACACATTCAAAGATGAACGAAGAACTCGAATGTATTAAGGCTTGTGATAAGGTTGGTTTGTCTTGTAATGAAATGAAACTTGTAAAGCTACGATTCGCCTCAATAGTCTAATTGATCTTTTAGGTATTGGAGCTGTCGCCTGGCAACGTGAAAGCGCTTTATCGAAAAGGGATGGCAAAGCTCTCTTTCAGCGATTTCGATGAGGCTCTTACAATCTTCGAGAAAGTTATGGCATCAGAGCCAGGGAACAAAGTGAGAATTTATATTGCAAGATGAAATTATTTCGTGAAATGAAGCATCTGGATTTGGCTATTTGATCCTCAGAACCAAAATTTTCGTCTGAAAAATGTTTTCATAACAGCATGCCATATAACTTAACTCTTTTGACATTTCCAAAAATTACTGTTTGCTAAGTTGCATAAACTTTATTTAGGCAGCTGAACAGCAAATTCTCATTTGCAAGCAGAAGATCAAAGAGTTCGAGCAGAGAGAAAAGCGGCGTTTCAAAGGACTTTTTGCCAAACTTGGAAACGATGTCCCCGAAGAGGTAACTTTCAACATAGGCTTCTAATAAGTAGTAACAGTTTGGTTTTAAATTAAACAGCAGTATTATGATTGTTTTTTTTCACAGCAGGAGCAAAAAAATCCATCCGAGGAGAAAGTTGGAGAAGAAAATGCGGAGCCAATGGAAGGCGCATCGTCAGCTTAATTTTTGAGTGATTTATGAAAAAATTGGGTACTAACAAACTTCAGGGCGGGGCACTTTGACCCGACTTTGTCAGATTGTATGTTTTGACTGTTTTACCAAAGTTATTTTACTTTTTCTAGGGTAATCAAACATGATGAATCTATATCAATAATATTTTTAGAAAGTTTTAAGCAATTTTATTTATATTTAGATAAGCTAGCTGGAGTTTTGCCTCTGCAGTGCCGCTAAGCTTGAAAATGAAGAGAGGAGCAAAATATAAAGTGATAACTTGTTCAGAATATTCTAAAAAATCGTCAATCGATTAAGCGTATTTGATTACCCCAGAAAATGCAAAACAAGACTAGAAAAAACACGTCTACAATAAGGTCTGACCGAGTCGAGTCAAAGTGGCCCCCCGAAGTTTATTAGTACCAAAAATTGTGATTCATTTGTTGTTTGTTTGATTCGACAGAAATTTTTTATATATTTTCCACACGATGATCTTTATTGCGTCATTTCTGGTCTCTTCAAGTGTGTTAACGTTTTCTGTTTGGTAAATGATGTGGGGTGAATAAAAGATCTCCCATCAGGGAACTGAACAAATCTGCCTAGTGAAAAGAAATCGCCGAGAATAGAAAAAAGTAGCAAAACGGTAAAAAATCTTTTTATAGTCAGAAACAAAACACTTTAGCCACAGTAATCGAAGATAGAGCTCACTAAAGAGCTAGAGTCATTTTAAGACCACTTCAAAAGGAGGAACATCTGGTTCTGATCAATTCGAACTAATCGTTTTACTTAGAACTTTCCGAGAAACAATGCACTTGCTAATTTTCTTGTTTTAACTTGAACTGTTTATCTTATGACTTGTTAGTGGTGGGCGATTGAGTTGTGAGAAATCTCGAGAGAATTTCCGTTGTTTTAGCCTTGAGAGAGTGATGGTTTTGGGAGATCTGTGTCGTGACTAATGCCATCTTTGATGAATTTGCCTCAAATTTCTTTACCGATTGCATGAGCATCGGTAAAGGGAATCTTCATTTTATCGCTTTTTTAAAATTTGACTCTTTACCATCCGATTATAATTCGCAAATTTGTTCAATTCGAATCCATAACTGGCTTGTAAAGTTGAAACCGAATTTATCTACTTTACTTGATTCTAGACTTGAATACAGGGCATAGATGAACCGATCACTGGCTTCCCAATTGACAGATCAATTAATGGCTGATGGGACGAGTGCTTATCGAGTGAGTGAGAGTGATCGCACCAAAAAAAATTTTCCCCAAATTTATTTTCAATCAGTGTTTCTGGCACATCAGTTTTTTTTGATCTCCACCACGATAAGAGAAGGTGAGAAAAGGACGGGGAAATGAACGGTCAATTGAATTACTTACTACATTCAGACTTGCGTTCTCTTTTTATCGATTTTTAAGACCTTTGGCGTTTTGCTTGATGATAGCAACTTTAGAATACTTTAGAATAGTTCATTTGCGGTCTCATTGCCAGTTTGTGTACGATGGAAAAAACACGAGATTTGATCACTTAAAGCTACTTTTTTTAGAAGTTTAAATCCAAAAAGTCGATCTTGGAAAAGTCTATAATACTTTCATGTAAGAAATCATGAAAAGGTTACCGTTGAAGTGATGAATTCTCGTTTTCTCCGTTCTATTGATAATCGGATCGACAAATGAACAGGTTTACAGTAATTTACAGTACGCAATCTAGGCGTGGGATTGGGCCCTGGCGGGCGCATCACGAGCCCAAATGGAAACGATCTATCAGCGGGCACAAGAGGTCGTCGCTCAACTGCCTTTAATGTGAGTTCAACAGCACATTTTGACTATTGTTTTTTTTTATCTAAACAATTCTGTGTTAAAGTATTTGACAAGCTTTTCTTTCTGAAAAGAGGGAAATCGAAAAGGGACTTTATTTTTGAAAACTCAAATCTTCTCGATTAAAAAAAAATCGAATTTCCAAGCTCTCGTTTATAATCGCCGAGTGAAAATAGCTATGGCTTGAGATATTTTTGGGAGTAGCAGTGTTGAAACGTTTTTTTATCTCATTTGAACACCGATGCGGATTCACGCCTCAACGAGTTTTTCTCTCCAGAAAGAAAAAAATAAGTAAACACTTTTCTCTCCTTTGAAAAGAAAAGAAAATAGTTTCTTCTTGATTTTTCTCCCCTTTGCCTTGAGGTGTCACTTCTGATCTTTGTGTGTGTTGACTTTGATTCGAAGAATTTGGTAAAGATGACCGATGTGGGCGCTTCCTCATCACAAGAATCAAATATTACTCCTCAAAATCAGCGGATTTTATCAGCGAGAAGTCATCGAAGCATTGTTCATCCCGAAGGATCATTGAGAGAAGAAAGCGAGATGGTGATCAGCGGATGGGATGGACCGGTGGCGGTGAGGAGAAAGTAAGTGTGCTTGTTTGTAAGCGTAGACTGATAGACTTGTTCTTTCACTTGTTCTTCTCTACTTTGTGTGCCAGCGAACGTGTGTTTACACTTTTTTCGAACAAAGAAAGAGTTCAGTTTACGTTACTCTTTACGTGACTAGGAAGGAATTTTCAAGTTCAAGAACAGTAATCCCGGTAAACAGTAAACAGTGAAGTTTACAGTAATCCCTTGTTTGTTAGTTCTGTTTCTTATAGCCAGCTTTGTTATCAATATTCTGCGGTTCAATTTATTCTATAAAGCTGTGCATTTTTGCAACATTTTTCAACCTTTTGTTCGTTTCAAAAACTGTTAACTAATTAACTGTTAACTAATTTAATGTAAATTTTGTAGAAACTCTGTAGAATCTTTTACCTGTTTTTACTTTTCGTCTGCTGTTTGCCTGTTTGCTTTTACTCAAGAGAAAAGATGATTGTGTTGAACAACTGTTTCCTGTTGTTCCTCGATAAATCTCTCGTAGCAAGTAGGCAGCGAATTTTTTTTTGCCTTACTTCATGGAAACTTTTTTTTGAGCTCATTGTTTATTGTCTTATTGCATTTTTGAAAATCTTATCATAAAGTTGCATAGCTAGTCTCATAGTCAGCAAAAGCACATACAAAAAAAACTCGATAGTAATTGACGCTTGATAGTAAATCATTGAAGGGATTCTCCAAAAATGATTTGCTATCAAGAGTTTTGCCTAATCAGTCCTAAAAACATCAAAAAAACCTTTTTTGAATAAGGTGATAAATATGATTTTGTGACTTTAACACGATGCTTAGGTGTTAAAGCCACAAAATGGGCTTTGCGTTGTTAAATGTTTAAATGCTTAAGCACAAGTAAACACTAGGCTTTGCGGGAATTCAACTTTTCCAAACCAACTTTTAATGACTAGAAAATTCGAATAGCAGCTGATTGTACATAGGCAAACAGTGTAAGCAGTTGTAAGCAGCAGTTGTAAGCAGCAGTTGTAAGCAGCAGTTGTAAGCAGCAGTTGTAAGCAGCAGTTGTAAGCAGCAGTTGTAAGCAGCAGTTGTAAGCAGCAGTTGTAAGCAGCAGTTGTAAGCAGTAGTTGTAAGCAGCAGTTGTAAGCAGTTGTAAGCAGTTGTAAGCAGCAGTTGTTAACAGTTGTAAGCAGCAGTTGTAAGCAGTTGTAAGCAGCAGTTGTAAGCAGCAGTTGTAAGCAGCAGTTGTAAGCAGCAGTTGTAAGCAGCAGTTGTAAGCCGCAGTTGTAAGCAGTTGTAAGCAGCAGTTGTTAACAGTTGTAAGCAGCATAATCAGTTCGAAACTTTTATAGTAAAAATATGCGAACTTTGGCAAAAGTTAGTGATTTACTATGAGATTAACTTACGAAAAAAACTCTTAATAATATGTAATGAAATGGATTTGAATGAATGAATGAATGAATGAATGAATTTGCTGTTAAATGCTCTTTTTTTCGCTTTCGGTTTCAATCGCTTTGGCTGGAAATTTTGCTTAGATAGTAAATAAAATGTTAATTTCGCTTTTAAAAAAATTAATGATTTACTGTAAAGCGTTAAATACACGTTTTTACCATTGGAGGGATTCTCCAAAAGTGATTTACTATCGAGCTTTTTCCCCTTGTATTTTCTTAAGCGTTTTGTCGGGAGTTTTCAAAAGTGATTTACTATCGAGCGTCGACTGTATAAAAATGGATTTATGAAAGGTGTTCGCTTTGCTTCACCATAACTAGGACTGTTCCAAAAAAAGGCAAAAGTCATGGCTAGTCAAGCCAAGCCAAAGCGATTAGCTTTAGGCTTTCGATTCGCTTTAGGCTTTCGATTAGCTTTAGGCTTTCGATTAGCTTTAGGCTTTCGATTCGCTTTAGATTACAACCTTACTGTTGGATATGCCCCTAAAACCTTGACTTTGGCCTGGAAAATCTGTCTGAGGAAAAGTTCTGCATCTAACTTGAATCGTACCAAAGATTTTAGTTAGAAAATCTTCAATTATAGCTCACAAGGTGACTCAAAATCGAATTTGGCGAGGGTTCACGGATCGAATCTAGTCAATCATTCAGACAAATCTAGTCTGAATTGTTCAAGGCTTATTGTTTCTAATATCTTTTTGCTGATCCACTGCAAAACTTCTCAAATGAGTCAGTGTTGCGGACAGAGAATCTGTAGGAAAATGGAGAAACTGGGAGAGAAAGAGGCGCCATTTTGGTGGGGGAAAATCAAGTGAAAAAGGGAAAAGCTCAATAAAAGCTGAAAAGATGGAAAAAAAGGAAGAAGAGCCAAGAAATTCCCGAAAAAAAGCTGATAACATTCGGGGGGAATGGGGAAAGGAATAGGGGAAGAGGGTTTGGAGTGAATTTCCCCCAAGAATCATAAACTCAAAGCCGAGTTTTGCACCGGAAGAGAGACGCAAATTCATATCTGTAAAAGATTCATTGAAAATCGAGAAAACTAAAGAATTTCTTTTTCTTTATTTCTTTTTCTTTATTACTTCTCAAATCTCAAATTTGTCACTTCCTTTTTTTTTGAAATTATCTTTCAAAAAAAGCTCATTTATTTGAGTAATTTGAGATGAGAAATTGGATTTTTTGAGTCATTTAAGTTAAACTTTTATATAAATAAGAAAATTTGCTGTTGAAAATGCTCTTTTTCGTTTTTGGTTTCGGTTTTCGGTGAAAATTTTGCTTGGATAGTAAATAAATTTCGCTTTAAAAAAATTAATGATTTACTATAAAGCGTTAAAAAATGATATGATTTGATCTGTCTTCGCACTTAGCGCAGATCACAACCCGCTTCCACATTTACTGAGGCAGAAGTGTAGTTGTCGTAGCCGATGATACTCCGATGGCCGAGCTGGGGCGCTCGGAGGGGAACCCATGGGAGTCGAACCCACGACTAACCCGCGCCGACGTTGCTCAGGCTTAGGCGCGGGTTAGTCGTGGGTTCGACAGACCCTTCCCTTTCTGGGCCCCCAGAAAGGGAAGGGTCTGTGGTCTGAATAAATGAGCTTATTTAAACGCGTTAAATAAACGTCTTTTAAATAAGCTCATTTATTTGAGTAATTTGAGATGAAAAATTGAACTTTTTTTTGAATCATTTACCCGAGAATTTAAGCTAAACTTTTAAATAAATAAGAAAGAAAAAAAGAAGCTGATTACTTGGAGATTTTTGTTTACATTAAATTTTTGTGATAAGTGAAAGTGATTATGCGAACTGAAATTGGTGGTTGGCTCGAGATTTGGGCTGTTAAACCGTTCATAAAATCAATGGAGAGTGCTTTTGAAAATGATTAGGCTTTTTTTTGAAGTTATTCCTTTCAGTTTGTACATATTTCTTATTTCTTTTGAGTCTTGCCGAACATCAGTTGATTCATTTCCTTGATTTCTTTTTCCTTGACTTCCTTGATACAGCAAGTGCTTCAAAAACTCTCTAAATTCATTAAACCCGAACTTGGTCACATTTAACTCTGGTCACTTGCTCTTTTTATTGATTCTCGAGCTTTCTTGTACATATAACTTCATGAGTTTATGACTCAGCAAACCAAAAAACAATAATTTCTTGTTAACTTGAAAATTAGTCGAAAATTGCAGAATGTCTGACGACGAGGTTGTCCAACACTACGATGAGCCCCCAAAAGAGGAAAGGGGAACATTGCCTGGTGAGTGGATTTGATTCGTTTATTGATTAGTTTATTGATGAGTTGAGTCGATGCTTTATAAATTGCAAATCAAAGAAATTGCAGGCCCAAAGAAATTCTCTCAACCGCCAGCCTCACAATCGACGGCCGCTCGTGCTCAGCCGGATATCGGTGATCGGATTATGCAAGAGGAGATCCCATTGGATAATCGAGATGAAAAAGAGATCAACACACCGTTGAATGTGAGTTTGGGGAATGAAGAATGAACTTTTTCAGTTACAATTTGAATTTCCAGGAGTTAACTAAGATTGTTTTGGAGTCTTAGACTATGCAAGAGGAAAGACAGAACTGGGAAGAATGACCAAACCTTCTAAACCAAACTTTCAGACTAAACCTTCCAAACCAAGCTTTCAGACCAAACCTTCCAAATCAAGCTTTCAGACCAAACCTTCCAAACCAAACCTTCCAAACCAAACCAAACCTTCAAACCAAACCTTCCAAACCAAACCTTCCAAACCAAACCTTCAAACCAAACCTTTCAAATTTGCATTTTTACACTAATAACCAGGTTCCAATCGGATTTGAAGGCCTTTGAGGGATCAGGATAGGTCTGGCAAGGGTCTGGCATTACATTAAAATCAAAATGTGCTCTTAAAACATTTCGAAAAACTTTGTCAACATAAGCCAGTTCAATTCCAAGTCTGCCAGTCTACACCAAACCAGACAAAGCTATAAGCAAGCTAGAGTCTGACTTCTTGTTAAGATTTCAATTTTCTCCTGTTCATTCTTGTCTTTATTCTTATCATTATTCTTGTCTTTATTCATTTCAAATAAAATCGTTTAGTTTTTCTCTTATTTCTGCTGTTTTCAGCTCAAATTTCTTAAATTCTGAGCGTAAAGATTAAGAGAATTTTATTGCTTTATTGCAGTTTTTTTTTCCTTTTTGAAAGGGGTTTATCAAAAGTGAAATGATTTTTGGAGTGATATCAGGGAAAATATGGGAGTGGGAAATGGTTGGCGAGTTGTTTACACACACAGAAAAAAAAAAGAAATGAATCACGAAACGATTTCCATTCCATTGAAAACTTTACAAGAAAATTCACAATCGAAGAGAAGACTGAAAGAAAAAGACAGAAAGACAGAAATTTGGTTAGTAGATGAGGATGAAATGAATTCAATCCGTTTCCAGGTGCACTTCTTGGACATTTTTGCTGAACCCGAGCCAACCCTTCACAGCATTGATTGTTTGTGGACGAACAGCTATCGCGTCTTTGAAGTCACTCGACTTTGGGCTTACAGTAAGTGATTAGGCTTAGGCTTAGGCTTAGGCTTAGGCTTAGGCTTGGGCTTAGGCTTGGGCTTAGGCTTGGGCTTAGGCTTGGGCTTAGGTTTGGGCTTGGGCTTGGGCTTAGGCTTAGGCTCAGGCTTAGGCTTAGGCTTGGACTTAGGCTTAGGCTTAGGCTTAGGCTTAGGTTTGGGTTTAGGTTTAGGCTTGGGCTTGGGCTTAGGCTTGGGCTTAGGCTTAGGGTTAGGCTTAGGCTTGGGTTTAGGCTTAGGATTAAAAATCAAAAGTAAAAGCAGTATTCTATCTTAAGCTAGGAAATTTCAAAATATCATTCGGATTTTAAGACCAAGGCCAAGATTTGTCAAAATCAGATTTTCCTTTGATCATTTTAGGAATAATCTCTCTGATCCTTGGTCTTCCCGTCGCTTTCTGTTGTGGACTCTCATTTGCCTGCGTTTCTTTCAATTATATTTGGTTTGTTTGAGAAAAAAAACTGGATATTTAAATTAGAAGATAAATGAATTCAAAGATGATCAGATGCTTCTTTAAAGTTTGCTTTAAATATCTTTATTGAATCTAATTCTAAAGCCGAAAAAGGTTTTTCACTAAAAATCTAACAAAATGATCTATTTCTAGAGAAGTTATAGAGATTTAGAGTATGATTTTTCATTCAGAAACCCTTAAGAGCAAAGTTTCAATGTTCACTTTACAGGTGTTTCCATCCAGCTCGTCGAATCATTCTTATCGAGTATCACATGATCAAACAGATTGTCTATGGGTAAGTAGAAAAAATAGAAAAGATTATAGTAAATCAGGGATCTATTTTAGACAACTCTCAGAATTAATTATCAGTTTACATTCAATAAGTCCCTTTATTAACATTTGATGATGATTATCATTATCATTAAATCACAAGGCTCAGTTAATAATATAAAAGAATTAGTGATCGACATATAAATCTATAAATTGGCAATAGATTATGATAGATTTCTAAAGTTGCTTTAAACTTAATAATAAGTTTGATTCACGATTCGGAGAGTCTTCCTCATTCTTTTCCTGTTTCAAAATCCTAGTGTTTTAAGTTCAAAATCCTAGTTGTTTTAAGTTTTAAATACTAGTGTTTAATTGTTTTAAATTTCAATAAGTTTCAATAATTTGGTGATTGAATATAAATTAGCAATAGATTATGATAGATTTCTAAAATTACTTTAAACTTAATAATAAGTTCTTTTTAAACAAATACTTTTTAAAGATCGATCTTTCAGGGCAGCTGGTTTATTCTGTCGTCCGGTGGCGTTGGCTTTTGGAAATATCTTCGCGAATATTCGAATTCATCGCTCACAAGGCGAAAAAGTTCCTGAAGAGCAATTGCTAATAGTTTGAGAAAAGTATCATTCTAATGTGATCTCAAAAAAAAGAAAAAAAAACAAATTCAAGAACTTTATCTCGTTAAATAGAAATGAAACCAACTAGACGAAAATGCCACTAAAATTTTGTCTAAAATGATGCCTTTCAATCAATTTCTGTGTACCTCTTTGGAATAAATTATTTAACGTTTCTTAATCAATTCTTCATTTCTCTTTTTCACACCACATTCTCTCTCATCCTCTGCTTCAAGATTGATGAAAATTTCAATGTTTTTCTGAAATAGTCTTGTGGTTTTAAAAACCCCAACTTTTCCTTAAGAGCTTGTTTTCTTCTTCCTTCAACATCACGATCTGGAAATATTGCCATTGATACTCCTCTTTAGTCTTTAGTCTTTAGTCTTTGTAAAAGTCTTTAACTATCTTTAACTATCTTTAACTAGCTTTTTATTTGTTCTGCATCCTGCATTGACGTTTGACTTCAACCTGTGTACATCATTGAGTCAAGCTTCATGATTCTCAGATTCTTCCTCATTCTTTTCCCGTTTCAGCGCTAACGAAAAGCTTAGTGTTTAAGTGTGTTTAAGTTTGAATAAGCCCACAAATTTTTCGAGATGCTAACAAAAGCGTCAAACATTATTTGCATGGCATTTGCGTCAAATTTGCGCTTTTCAATACACTTTTCTACCAACTCTGATTTACTATTTATATTTTTTAGTTTTTCCTCGAAACTCGCTATTTTGCCGCCTTCACTGGATCTGAAAATGGCATAAGATCGATATATAGAGTAAAAAGCTCAATCGGGGACACAAAAATGACTGTGTTTTGTTGTCTGTATAAGTATTTAAACGTGTTTTATAGTTGAAAACAGTGAGAACTAAAGTTGTGAAGCAAAAAAAAACTGAAAAAGTTGGTTAGAAGTTGGGAAAGAGTTATTTGTTTGGCGCAAATGAAATTGGCGCAAGTCAAATTGGCGCAAAAGAACAACATCTACGCCAAGACTTCCCTCTACGCCAAGACTGCTGAAATTTTAAATTCAATTGTATTTTTCTATTTTATTTTACTGTAAACTGTGTCTACTTCTTTGTTTTTAACTCTAAATCTTCAGTTGTGACTCTCTGAATTTCCCGCTTTCCCTTCCCTTTAAAACTATTTGAAATGGAATAGGATCGAGTCTCATGACATGGGGATCCCTTGACTCAGTACTGGGATGAGGCAGGCAATTGTGCAAAATTCATATCGCCTCGCGCCTCTCCCTTTCCCTAGTAATCTAGTGAAAGTTAAATGTTAGCCTCGATTAGTTGTTGCTCGGCTTTTCCTTTGGCTTTCCTTCGTCTACACAAAAAAAAAACTTTTTGCGTAAGAAACAAACACAAATTTTGATTTTTGAGACTTGTGAACCTCTTACTACTTTTTTTTCGCAAAACGGAAACGTTTTTTTTGTTATCAAAACGCAATAACGATCGAGTTGAGACCACAGACTCTATTTTCGATTAACAAACAATTTCTTTTCCCTTGTTTCTCTACTTGAAGGGCTGAACAGGCTTTTTTTCAGCTCTTACTCAAGGCTGGTGATTTAACGAATGTTCTATATTTCTCTTTAATATTTTAACTTTTTAAAACTCATATTAACGCTCGACATGCTATGATTTAAGCTGGGGTTTTCATTGGTTACAAATTGAGCTAAACATTGAATAACCAATGAAATTCTAATCAATTTTCTCAATTTAAAAGAAAGAAAAAGAAAAAGAAAAAGAAAAGTTTGTTTGGAAAAGCTTTTTAAATAGTTTTGCAATTAGATGAAAGCTGTTAAATGTTAAATGATCGCTGAGAAAATTGAGAAACAGTTAAAGTTTCTTAGAGCCAGTTCATGGCTTCATTTCCGGTTCATGACTTCAATGTGCTTTCAAAATTTGCATATACAGGGTGGCTGAAAATTACGTGCGCCAAAGAGAACGCCATAATTTAATTTTCTTTCAAAGAACATGTAAAAATACTTATTTATATAATAGTTGTAACAAAAGCATTTGATAATTACAAGAAATTTTCGAAGTGGCCTCCATCCGCTTTGATACAGGCTTCAATTCGCTTCTTTACAGAATCGACGGTGCGGCGGAGATAATTTGCATCTAAGTCGTTCCAGATGTTGATCAATTCTCGGCGTAAATCATTCAAATTGTTGATTTTCCTATTTTTCAATTGTGCCTCGATGCGATCGACGAGTTCTTCATGCCTCTCGTCGCCAGCTGTGCGATTGCGTCCCTGCGTCTTTGTCATGACCTAGAAAGCAACTTTTTTAACAAAAAATTAATAGACACAGATAAAAAGAATATTAAAACACAAAAAGATGAGTAGTAATGCTTTATACATTGTTTAAAACTATGTCAGATGCTGCGCGCACGTAATTTTCAGCCACCCTGTATAACAATGACGGCAGAAGTTTAGGCAGAAGGTTTATTCAAAAAAAAGGAGAAATCGGTTTTAAGATTATTAAGACCTATACAATTCTTAAGTATATCTTATTTTAAAACCAGGAAAGTATAAGAAAACAAAATTTGATAGGTTAATTCAAATGAATAAATTATTTTTCATTTCCTAATCAATTTTCATTTTTTGTTTTAAACGATAAAAGATTGATTGGAAAATTGTGCGAATGAAGAGGAAAATTGAGAAAATGAAGAGAATAGGGGGGATTGAGAGAAGGAAAATCACATCTAAATTGAAATAAATGATCGCATTCATTTCTTTGCCTTCCAAGCTCAAATCATCTAATGGACCAAATGATAAAACGTATTCTGAAAAGAAAATTCAAAATAGATATGGGTATACTTTGTGAAAATTTGTTTAAATGGAAACATATCTTTCCTAGTGCACTTAAGTTTTCCTTTTCGATTCTAGCAACAATGAGAAATATATCGTAAATACCCCCAGCCCCATAATGACGGTGCGGAGTGTTGCGTAGTCTAGCTTTGAACGCGTTTTTCTCGACACTGGCTTATGCTACAATGTGCGTTAGGTATCAAAAAATAGCTGAAATTCAGGGCTATTTTTTGATACCAAAGACGCATTTTTTGAAAGTACGGGCACTTTGAAAAAAACGAAATACTAAAAAACTTTTGCGACTACGCGACTGTACGAGGGGCGGTGGGGTACTATTACAGTATTTACGGTATCTAACTAACTACAGTAAATATTGTAATAGTACCCCACCCCCATAATGACGGTGCGGAGTGTTGCGTAGTCTAGCTTTGAACGAGTTTTTCTCGACACTGGTTTATGCTATAATGTGCGTTTAGGTATCAAAAAAATAGCCCTGAATTTCAGCTATTTTTTGATACCAAAGACGCATTTTTGAAAGTACGGGCGCTTTGAAAAAACGAAATACTAAAAACTTTTGCGACTACGCGACTGTACGAGGGCGGTGGGGTACTATTACAGTATTTACGGTAAGAAATATGAGAAATAAGGTTCAAATTGAAAATTTCAATTCAGAAAAGGTTGTTTTCATTAAAGTGCATTCCTCGCGAGTAAGTAATCTGTATCTGTATGGTAAAACTCGAGTAAAATCTGCATGGGCAATTTTGACTCGACTAATCGATGTTTTTTTTTGGGTCGAGCAACTACGAGTAAATCCTCTTTACACATCGAGTAAACTGAATATCTTTACATGTGACGGGAATTTGCCACCAAAACAGTTAAACGGCTGAATATCTTTAAAAAGAGTCGTATATAGCTCGTCGCTCGTGATTTTTTTTTGCAATAATTTTCGCTAAAAGTACGATAATTTTGGGGGTGGGGTACTATTATAGTATTTACGGTAAGTGTGCGCTTTAAAAAAACGTATTACTCGTGAGGAACTAGAGTGTGTTCCCCGGGAGTAATGCGTTTTCGAAAACGCACACTTGGGAAAAAATTCCCGTACTTTTAGCAAAATTTATTGCAAAAAAATGACGCAAAAATCACGAGCCCCGCATTATATACAACACTTTTTTAAAGATACTCAGCCGTTTAGCTGATTTGGTGGGAAAGTCCCTTCCAATGTAAAAAATTGCGTTTATATTTTTTTTCGCGCAGGCGCACTTTTTTCGAAAACGCATTACTCGACAATTACTCGAGCTATTACTCGAGCTAAAAAATTACTCATGCAAATTTACTCTAGTAATTACTTACTCGCGAGAAACACACTCTAGTTTTCATCATTTATGAGCACAAAACTTTATTAAACTAAGATTAATTTTTGATTTAAAGTATTGATTATTAAAATGAGATTAAAAATGAAATCAATTTACGTATGAAATTTTGAATTTAACTCTAGAATTTCTATAAAAACTCTTCCGGATTACCTGTCCATTTCAGAAGTGTTTCCTTTGCTCTCATTGGATGAGATTTTACACGTTTCGATAATGATCTCATCGAATTTGTATATCTAAATAGGTATCGTTATTTTAAAACAACAACTTCTCGAAAGTAAAATGTTAGTGATGCTTTCTTTTTTGTTAGTGAAAGCTCGCCTCTCATCTTGAAGCACCTCGCGAACCACCTTGCCGACCTCAGCCAATTTTAGCTTGCTGATCGCCTAGGGATAATGAAATAATGAAATAATGATAATGAAAATCTAGATTTAAACTTAATTTTATTCAATATTCAATCTATATAAGTCTTTCTTATAACTTTTAATAGAATTTCTTAAACGAAACCTTTCCAATCCCCCTCATCTCAGCGTTTCTCCCATTGCGGAACTGATCAGCGAAGATGGGAACGATTACCAATGGAACTGAGCTATAAATGATTTAAAAAAAAAATGAATGAATCTCTAACAATTTATTGTTTTCTATTAGTTTAAGAATTTTTCTTTTACCGATAAATTGCTTCAATCATTCCGTTGATGCCGCCGTGTGTGACGAAAAGTTTCAATCTTGAATGCCCTGAAAATACCGTATTTTCTCTAATAGTAGTGTACCCAAAGCTTCCCCTAAATTCCTCGAAATCTCAAGAACCGCTTATCAGAACCTATCGATGTGGGGTCGGAAAATGTAGCTGACGATGAGATCTAGTGGGGGATTTAAGTGTTGAGCTTCTGGGGAAAACTTGGAAACTGTAAAATAGTGATCAACTCGGCTCACTGGGAAATCTTAGGGAAATAGATCAGTCTGATCTACTAGCCTAACCTGGAATAATATACCGTATTTTCTCTGATAGTAGTGTAGTCTAATAATATACCCAAAGCTTCGCCTAAATTACTCGAAATCTCGAGAACCGCTTATCAGAACCTATCGATGTGGGGTTGGAAAATGGAGCTGACGATGAGATCTAGTGGGGGATTTGAGTGTTGAGCTTCTGAAAAAGCTTGGAAACTGTAAAATAGTCACCAACTCGGCTCGCCGTCGTGCACTACTATTAGAGAAAATACGGTATATCAAAATTCTTCTTAGATGTATTTATTAGATTTTATTTTACTCACCTAGTAAATCAGCTTGTGGAATCCATCGAACTGTATCGATATTCGTGACTCCTTTCAACAAATCAACTGTTGTTTCATCGTTGTTGTCGATCTAGAAATGATCTTTGTTTAAAAAAAAAAATGATTCACTCACTTTGATGATGAAATGATATTCAGTCATTTGACTGAAATCGTGAATGATCGCTTTGCGAATATTGATTGGAATTGTGTCAAAGAGAGCGACTGAGCCTAGGGAGAAAAAGACGATTCCGCGTTTACCCTTTGACATCAATGTGGAGAGATTCTGAAAAAGAATAGAAGCTATTTTCTATTTGCTATTTGCATTGAATCGAACCTCGTCCAATGGTTTTGCCTCGTGAATGCCTAGTCCTCCAATGTATTGAATCTTTAAAGAGATCGGTCGCGGTAGATCGAAAATCGGATCGGTGTTGACGAAAACGATTGAAGCGCGTGAGGCCAATTCGCGAACACACGGGAATTCTGGCGAGATGCGATCACGGAAAATCTATTGAGATTCGGATTCAAAAAATTTGGATACGAAATACAAGAAAAGTACAAGTACAAGAGTACAAGAAAAGTACAAGTACAAGAGTACAAGACAAGTAAAAGACCTTTGTCATTTGATTTGTTCCATACAAATGAATGCCTATCGATTTGAAATAGTTGATTTGATTGTCCAATCTTTCCCAAAAATTCATGCGATCACCGTGATCACTTTCCTCAATCACTGGCACGTATGATGGTGGTTGGGGAATTGCTAAAAACAATAAAGGATAAAGGTTACAGTACTTTAAAATCTTACTTATTATAAGTGAGAGATTATGGCTCTTTGTGTGTCTGTCTGTTATGCAATTTTAGAAAAAACGTTTGAAATAGCAACAAAACAAAAAGTTAAAATAAACTAGGCACTCACTAGTGAAGAGGTTGTAAAGCTCGTAAAATGGGAAGCTGTAAAGCTTGTAAAATGAATAAGCATTCTATCCGATGAACTTACCCAAATTATAACTATTCGCGTCCATCAATGGCGTTGTCGACAACCATAAAAGCTTATTGATCTCGAGATAACTAAAATCTCATTTTGAAAATTTAAAAAGTTTAAAATAACTGAATCAATCCAATCCCGCAAAACTCGATTTGCTCAGTGAAAGCGGCGTCGAATTTCTCGCCTTTCAAATGATTCAAAATTTCTTTTTGTTGAAGAATCACTAAATTTGCTAAATATTTTACATTCAGCTTCTTCTTCTTATCTTTAATTCGATATGCACTTACGATCGCAAACTTTCGCCGCCTCAACTTCCCAAGCAGCTCTAGTGGAAACAGTCGCGAATTCCGAGTCCATTAAACCACCCTCAAAACCGAAGTCCTCATATCCTTTACCTGAATATATGTAATTAAATGGAAGTCTGTAATCAAATGGAGGTCTGCAATCAAATGAAGATCTGTAGTCAAATGGAAGTCTGTAATCAAATGGAAGTCTGTAATCAAATGAAGGTCTGTAATCAAATGAAGGTCTGTAATCAAATGAAGGTCTGTAATCAAATGAAGGTCTGTAATCAAATGAAGGTCTGTAATCAAATGAAGATCTGTAATCAAATGAAGATCTGTAATCAAATGAAGGTCTGTAATCAAATGTTAAGGGGTATTCGCTTTGCTCAAGGGTAATCTAAAAAGAGCTTTACAAGAGATCGGAAGCTCATAAATAAACCTCTGACAAATCTTTTGACCGATTTGTAGATTTTTCTGATGATAAACGAGGATTTTTCCGTTAAGAATCTCATCCATTTTGTTTTCTGCAAGCATTTTTCTGTAAACATCAATCAAAAAAACGTTTTTAAAAGAAAACTAACAAAAAACGTTCAAGCATTTTTCATAAAATCTTCACAAGAAACAATCTGTAAACAAAATTCTCACGTTTTTTCCCCCTTTTCCTTTAAACAATTCAATTAATCAGTAAATGCATTGAACATTTCAACAATTTGCATTGAATTCTTTTAAATCCATTACTCACCAACTCCCGGGATCCTCAGAATTTTCGACTTTTTAATGCCACCCGTGAAATTCGATAGAGAACTCATAAATTCGGGGATTAAAACAACGACTTCATGACCGGCCTCGGCAAGCGTTTCAGCGATTCGCCCATTGCTGATTATATGACTTGCACTGAAGATCTTTTAATGAAGAAAACATTTTTGTCGAATACCTGTACGATGGAGAATAAACAAGGATTTTTCCAGCTTTTACATAGCACAAAATCAATAGAAAGATGATCAAATTTCTAGGAAACATCGACTTTTCGACGAATTTTCGTTTGGAGTTTAGAGAAGAAGTTTAGAGAAGGAAAAAGGCGAAAAGGGGAACTCTTATCAGTCAAAAAAGGAAAGGAGGTAAGTGATTAAAAAACAAAAAAAAAGACAAACAATTTAAAGGAGGTTTTTTTTTTTGAAAATCTTTAATACAAAGGCTACTAGATTGATTTAGATAAGAGAGCTTTAATGTCATCATTTGTTTGAAAAGGAGACCGGAAAGAGACCGGAAAAGGAGCAAACTTCTACCTACCGTACATTGTCTGATTTTTTTCAAATCTTATAGAGATTTTAAAACTTTTGAAAATTAGATAGTTTTAAAAGTTCAAAGATTTACCAACCGAGTCCTGTAAGCCAGGTCGGGCTGTTGCCAAACCTGCAGCAAAGACAGGCTAAGCAGAAAGCATATCATTGTCTTATTTTGATATTTCAAGTGTCGATGTTTAAAATGTTATTCAAGCATTTACAAATATGAAAGGGATTCTTCGGAAGTTCCGGCCAGAAATTTTTGATATCTTCGAGAATGGTGGCAAAAACTGTGCGATCAGTTCATCTTCCAGATTCCCTCAGCGATGTAGCTCTCAAGCATTGTTCGATGAGTTTCGTGGCGGCTTGAGTCTTTGAATGGGCGTCACATCCTCTCAATATGTTGTGTGTGAACGATTGGATCGATGGGATCGACGAAGTTTGTTGTGTGATTGATCCAATTGAATAATTGAAGTGTCGGGGTGGGAAGCGAGACTTCGAAGATCATCCATCAGAAATTATCCGGGTTCCAGGAGCAATGCATTTCTCGATAGTTGGAAACAAAATAGTAGTTGATCGGGGAACGAGCACACGAAACTTTTCATTTGATTCCCTGCACACTCCGCCAAAACACTACTTCTCGCCGAACATGCTATTTCCGCATTGTGAATAATATTCGTCGATCTCAACAGATCTCCTCAACGATTCAATTGCATGAGTTTGAGTTCGGCTTACAGAGCTCCAGGCAAACGCTTGACGCAAGTGAAAGTTTCAATCAACGATGGAAGACATCCCCAATTCTTTCTCACAAAATTTGACTGTCGAATTTCCTGAACTTGAGAATCGTGACGAACTTAAGCCTTGAATCCTCGAACCAATTGTTCACCCGAATGACACGGGAGTTTGAAAGTCCTATGTAGACACATTGACTACATGCCCAACGCTATCGATCTGATCCTCTTGACGCAAGTGAAAGTTTCAATCAACGATGGAAGACATCTGCAATTCTTTCTCACAAAATTTCATTATCGAATTTCCGTTTGCCCACATGAACTTGAGAATTGTGACGAACTTAAGCCTTGAATCCACGAACCAATTGTTCATCTGAATGATGAACAATTGGTTTGAAAGTCCTATGTAGACACATTGACTACATCCCCAACGCTATCAATCTGATCCTCGAGATTGGAGCGACATTTGATCACCTCTCAGAAAGTTCGGCATTTGAATCAATCCATTGTTAACAAAATAGACGATTGCATCCTTTTCCGGAAAAAAAGCTGATTTCCGAGAATTTCATTTTGAAATGAAATTGGAAAAATCCTTTTCATCTCAGGCTCTTATAGATTGAATTTCATTTTTTACTCTTTTCTAATGACAAAAGTTTTCTTTAACGATAAAACGTCTATTTTGTCATTGACATTTTCCGTACAGCTAATTTTTTTTTTCTTATTTCCTCCTCAGATAACACAAAAGTACTGAAATCAACAAGAACTATTAGAAAATGATCCGATCCAGAAAGGGGAGGATTTCTATTTTTGTTCAACGCTGTCTGCCATGAAATTCAATATTAGTTGCCCTATTCACATTTATTAGTTAGTCGATGTTGTCTGAAAATATTTTCCCGTTGTATTTAAACTGTTATCTGATGAGCTTGTCCTCTCACATGGGAGGCTAGGTCAACACTGATTCACAAGAAATCTCAGTGATCAAAGTCTGCTCAAAAGCTTGGATCAAAATTTTTAGATTAACAGCTTTAAGTTGTACAGATTTGCATTACGTCTACAATTACAGTATCCGAAATGTCTAAGCTTATGGCTGTTAATTTTATAGTTAGATTGATAATATTATAGTTAGATTGATAATCTTATAGTTAGGCTGCTAATCTTATAGTTAGGATGTTAATCTCATAGTTAAGTTGTTAATCTTATAGTTAAGTTGCTAATCTTATAGCTAGGCTGTTAATCTTATAGTTAGGTTGTTAATCTTATAGTTAGGCTATTAGAATCAACATCAACTTTAAGAAGTCTCAGTACCAATGTGTCATTAAAGTTCACTTTACTATTTTACTTTGCCCTTGCCCGTCTCCCCCCGAATAATATTTGTGTTATTGAGCTCAAAAGTCGATCAACCGTGTTTTGAAACAGTTTCCCCCGCCTTTCATTCATTGAATGCTTTGTCCTCTTGAAATCCCTCCTCTTTTTTCATTTCATATTTGATTTCTCCTTGTCGACGTATCAAGTGATTAGGGGATTTTGTCGAAAAAACCCTCCACCCACTGATAATTTCTCTCAATTTTTTGCTCTCAGAAGTCAAATCGCTCGCTAAGTAGCTTAGCTACCAGTGATGGTAGCTAAGCCGAATATCAAATTTATCACAAATTTAGGAGAAGCGAGTAATGACAAAGCGATGAATAAAAGCACAGAAGTCTATTGTTTGCTATTTTTTATTATTCAAATCTATGGATATTCGCTAGGAAATTTGCAGAATGATGAGCTTTTCGAGAAGTTGCCGGAGAAATGTCGAGATTGTGAGTTTCATTGTTTAATCAATTGTTTCAAATTCAATTGTTTGAGCTAATGCATTTTCTAGAAACTAGATGAAACTAGTAATCAACAGTTTAAATCCAATTGTTTCAGTGGGTGTCAACAACACGAATTTTCGTGATTGTTCAAACTATCACGTGAATGTACTTTTTTTGATGGACCCAGAGACGCCGAGAGGAGCTTTCACACCGATGATTCAAGTAGGATAAAGTTGAAGCAAGAAAACAGTAAATAAAGTAGTAAATAAAGTAGTAAATAAAGTAGTAAATAAAGCAGTAAATAAAGCAGTAAATAAAACAGTAAATAACACAGTAAATAAAACAGTAAATAAAACAGTAAATAAAACAGTAAATAAAACAGTAAATAAAACAGTAAATAAAGCAGTAAATAACACAGTAAATAAAACAGTAAATAAAACAATAAAGCAGTAAATAAAACAGTAAATAAAACAGTAAATAAAACACTAAATAAAAGAAGAATTTAGTTGTTGGTTGATATCTTGTACAGTTGTCAGGAACAAGCTCTAGCTGATGAAGGGAATGCTGCGCCGAGGGAATATCCAGTCAAGTATCATCAATTGTTGTTTCTTCCTTCAAGAAAGTTGTTTAGTCGTTTCACTTACATCTCGGTGCAAACGATGTGGAGTTGCAACCTGACAGATTGCGATCTCGAGAACTCGATCTCATTGGATTATTCGAGATATCCGGCTAGGTAAAGCAACTATTAAAAGTTATTTTTATGAAGTTTATTCATAAAATGTACTTGTTTCTGGTTAGTCAAGGGCAGATTTGGATCTGGTGCATGCTCTAGGATCTATTCTTTTCTCTAGAATTCTCTAGAACCTCTAAAACCTTTAGAGGATGGTGTTCTACGGTAGTTGGAAAATTGGGAAAATGGAAAATGGTCTAAAGACAAGAGATCAACATCTGAACTAAAGGGGAGACTGTATTCCTATAAACTGAAGCGTTTTCTAAAAGGTGCAAAAGTTTTGCTGTACTTTGCCTCTCTTTTAGGACGAAATATGGTTTACAGTAGATTTTCCTAAGCCCAAGATCAGATCTTGTTCCTAATAAAAATTCGAAGCTACAGTCTCCTCTTTAGTTCAGATGTTGATCTCTTCAAGCTTATCAAAAAGGCGATCGAATTCTCAACAACTCCACACGATAATCAAGTGATGACATTTTTCATCATCTCCAACATTAAAAAGGAAAATTTCAAGTTATATCCGGTAAGATTTCGATTAAGTATTAAGTATTAAATAAGGAAAATCCTAGAATATCACCTATATCATGGGAAATCCAGGAAGGATTGGTGAAGCGATTGGCTCAATTCAAGCACCGTTTCGTTTACTGTGGTTTCCGGTGAGCAGAAAATACGGCAAAGATGTACTCTAGAAAAAGCACATTGAATGCTCTTTGATATGCTCAATGTGCCAGAAAACATGCGTTTGCTAGAGAACAAAGTACAGCAATTGTTTATCTTGAAAATTTGCTTAAGAGCTCATTTTCAGGGCGAAAGAGAGTATCCGTTTGGAGAAATTCAAAAATTTTCGAATGGTTGGTTCAAAGATGTAAGCTTTAGAGAGTTTTGATAGTTATTAGTCATTAAAAATTTCAGTATTCAATTGCAAACACTGATGATTTCCCAAAGCTGATCGATGAGTTGTATATTTGCCCGGTTAATGGCACTTACGTAACACCGAGTCATCAAAGCACTGAAACCACGACAAAGCCACATTCAACAGGTTTATTTACTCAAAAAGATAGTATAATAGAAATATATAGTCAGAGATATAAATGTCGTAGCCGTTTACGAAATTCAGCCGCTAACGAATCATTCGTTAATGGCTAGCCGATTACGAATGAAATTTTTTTTCACTAGATGTTTACGAAATTTTTGCAATCGACTTCTGCGAACATGGCTAGATTCAAATGAATTTACCATGTTTTTGATTTCAAGTTTTTTTATGCAAAAAAAAAGAAAAAAAAATTGGGGATAGGCTACTTTGCGAGAAATTTTTTGCGCAACTGGGTCTTTTGCGCAACTAGATCTTTTACGCAACTCGCCATAACTTTCTTCTAAGTCGGCCAATCGTTATGATGTTGGTTTCATTTTGTTGCACTTATTGAGATCTAGAAAATGAAACCAAAAAAACATAAAGATTGGCTGACTTAGAAGAAAGTTATGGCGAGTTGCGCAAATAAAATGGCGGAAATTAGCCTACCCCAAAAATTGATTTTGAAGCGAGTTATTAAAAGTTGTCAAAATGCCCCTTTGCTGAAATTGGGTCCTCCGGGAGGACTTCTCCCCATTGTTATCAGAGATTTCGGATTCATTTTCTTTCTGCTTTTTTTATTATTCTTTGGTTTTATTATACATAATCATTTGTTTTTTTCAGGATGAATTCATTTCTCAACCAATTTGACGCGTATCAAGTCTTGAAAAAGCGAACGCATAACGACGAAAAATACAATGAAATTGTGAACAGATTGACAATGTCAAGTGAAAGTGAAAGCGAGAAACGGAAGCGAACGACAGAAGAGGCAAATTGGGCACATCGTTACTCGATTCAATGCATTGAGCAATCAACGATACTCTACAATCATGGAGACAAAGGAGCAAACGAACAACCAAAACGAGTCGTCAAGAAAGAGGAACTCTTCGATGTTTTGACGTCAACTCGAAAAATATTAGGACACGCCGACCGGGATCTGATGTAGAAAGAACTGCGAGGAGATTATCGTGCCAGGATAAAGGAAATACTCGAGATTTTTATCAAACTTTCCCCGGAATGTGAATTAAAGAAGGGGACGCCAAAAAAGGAGTTGCTGTGAAGCCGATCATAATGAAGGAGTAAAATGAACGCTGCCAAGTCGACTTAATTGATCTTCAATCGGTTCTGCATGCATTTTAGTTGATGTTTTGTTTGTTATAAACGTTAATATGTTATACACGTTAATATGTTATACATCTTAAATGTTATAATTTTTATTTAACTTGTGATTAGTTTGCTGATTTGCGTTTTGCATAAATAGTTTGAAATCAATTTGAAATCAATTTGAAACTCATTTGAATCGAGCCATGTTCGCAGAAGCCGATTACAAATTGTACACGGCTAGCGAAAAAAATTTCATTCGTAATCGGCTGACTTTCGTAAACGGCTACGACATATATATGTCGTAGCCGTTTACGAAATTCAGCCGCTAACGAATGAGGGTATTTCCGGGCATCCAATCAAAAAGTCACCCACATAAAAAATGTTCATAATACATATATTTTATAATCAATTTTTGAAATTAGCTCATTTGGTTCAGTAGAAAATTTTTTTTGAGCCCCCAAAGTTTAGGTTCAAAAATGCCCTAAAATGACTATAAAAAATTTTCTACTCAGCCAAAAAACTTGCCTAATAGCTCATTTTGTAGCCAATTTGATGTAGTTTCTTAAAGTAAAGCCATCTAAAACGGCTACGACATATATAGTATTTGATACTGTAATCAAGTGACGATATTTTAGCGGATTCAAGTGGAATGAGATTAAACAACAATGTATTTATTTATTTCATAATTGCCACAATTGTCTATTTAATTTGAGTAATAATGAAAAACCGATTCGAAAACTCTTTTCATTTAGTTTGTTTATCAATAAACTTTTTTGCATGACTCTAAAAAGCACCAAACAAGTTTTATGTTACTTAGCTGGGTTAGCTTTCAGTTGCATATGAAAGGGTTAGATAAATTGTGCATAAACACAAATTGATTTCAGATAAGGATCTCGATTGGGTTCTTCCGATGATTTTTGTCATCATTCTCTTTTGTTTTGGGCTTTGTCTGGTGGCACGATGGAGATTTTGCTCGCATTGGACACCGAAGTTGAGTTAAGGGCTTAAACGATTGTAATTGAAGATTTAGGATTCCTTTTTTGCACGATTTCAAAATGAGACACGGAAGTGCGCATTCTGTGGCATTACAGGATCAAATTCGGGCAGCCACTCTGCAATCGGCGGCGGGTTTAGCCGGGATCGGCTCGATGGCAAGTAAACCGAGAACGGCAAGTGGGAGTAGGTGGGTGAAACACCAGGGAAAGAGTTTGGTAAAATTATATAAATGGATAAGATAAGACATAAAGATAGATAGATATACAGATACCTTAATTATTCTAAGAAAAGACGAGTATTTTATTTTTTCGATTGAGTTCTAGATGCGTCTTTTATTATTTCCTTAATTCGTGCTTAAGTACCAAAGTAGTAACAAAGGTTTTGAAACCAACATTTCAATCAAGGTATGTAGGTAACAACAAAACAATGTAAAAAAACAATAGTAAATTTGTAACAACAAAACAAGCAAGAAAAGAAACAACATTGTTCAATCTAAGTCTAAAATGCATCCATTCAAATTTTCTTTGTTGACGTCATCTCCAAGGTCTTCGTTTTCTAGATTCAAATCAGTAGAATCTAACGAAGAAATTGAAGATGCATGAGATGTCAGAGTTTCCGTTGCATCTGAGTGATAATCCCAGTTGTTAACATTCTCTTCCAAATCGACGTCATCCAACAATTTCGCCAATGATTCATCAATTCTTGCCTGTGTGATCTTTGACGTTCCTGTTTGAATTTCTTCTAGCAGGAAATATGCAATTTCTCTCGTCGTTTGTGGGTTATCCATTACAAGACGGTATTGTCGAGTTTGCACGATCGTAACCGACGTCCGCCACCAGACAATTTTTTTGACTTTTTGTTTGCATTGATCAGGCTCGCTTCTTGCTTTCTCTATGCACGAATTTGGCACTCGCTGACGTCAAAATGTCGTCCCGCTTCTCGATTGTTGTTCTTCTTTGCATATCCGGTTGCTTCCAGCTTGAAACACGCGTCGTAGCACCGTTTGCTCAAATTGCTTTGATGATCACTCATTGACGTCACCTAAATTTAAAAAGTTAATAGATGTAATTAATAAATTAGAAATAAAAAAAAAACTAAAACCAAAAGTTACAAGAAGTAAAACTAGGTAAAATGAAATAAAAAAATAGAAAGAACAAAAGAAGCAAGCCAAGGATTACGGTAGTTACAGCACAAAATAAAATTCAAAGGAATCCTCTAATAAAAGACGCTATTATATTAGAGAGCTTCTTTTAATGAGTAAAATGAAATAAAAATAGAAGGCACAAAAGATAGAATAAATAGTATACAGTAATTTTAATGCTTACAGTAGATGCATTGTCTATAACTTTAAATTAAGCCCTATCCTCCCTCGCATCGGGCCTAGGCGTATCGTCTATCTTCTAGGATTACTGTAGCAATGTTCTTATCAGCAATTTATAATCCTATTTTAAATTTAGTAACGGAAAAGACCCCTGGGAGATTAACTCCGACCGGGTTTTTCTGACCCACGAACGCTTGGGTTGTGGAGCATCTTCAGAAGTAGTAAAAGCTTTGTTGAAAGGAAGACCGCCAGTTAAGGATCGAGGAGCTCCAATGCAGGTACAAACTTAGTTTTAAAAGCTGTAAATATCACTCGAAATTTGGTACAACTTTGGTAATTCAAATTTTCAGCTCGCTCTCTCGTTCAACGACAACAGCAATGTGGTGGCTGCGAAATATTTGAAGCCAAGCGCTTGCTTGTCTGCAAAGTAAGAAAATGCGGGAAAAGATTTTTACAAAACGTATTCAGATCCTCATTCATGGCGGAGAGTAAATTATTGAGAGAGATCGGTTTTCATCCGCACATCGTTCCTTTTGTTGGCATAGTTAGTGATGGACCTGATCGCTTATTGCTCACACAGCTTTGTCCATTCGGCGATTTGCTGAGGTTCTTGAAAAATAATGTGAGTTTTTTTAGAATAAACAAATATAGAAATCTGATCAAGTATTTTTAGCAAGGAACTTTGAAAGAGTTGGAGGAAAAGGAGAAACAAATCATTGCATGGCAGGTAAGCTTAAGAAAATACAAATGGAGAAACAGAAACACACATGCGAATTTATTCTGCAAGCTAAGCCTTTAAGATTTGCGATGCTCTATGCTATTTGAGTGCTAAAAAGTTCATTCATCGAGATGTTGCCGCGAGAAATGTGTTTATGTACGGGAGAACGATCGGAAAGGTTTGAGAAGTTTTCCAACTAAATCTGTTTAAATCAAATTGATTTTATAAAATATTTTCAGCTTGGAGACTTTGGCCTTTGCGTGAAGGCCCCAGAAGGGAGAATCCGTGCCGGAGGTCATCTCCCAGTTCGAACATTGCCACCGGAAGCCATTGAAACGCTTGTGTTTGATGAGAAAACTGATGTGTAAGTTGAAACAATGGTTAAAAAAATGATTTGAAAAGCCTCACTCAATTTAGCTGGGCATTCGGGCTTCTCTTATGGGAGTTGTACACGGGTGGGTTGGTGCCATTGGCGGATATCACTCTTCCAGAGGTGCTTTCATCGCTCAAATCCGGATATCGGCCACAAGTACCGGAGAAGTGTCCAGAGAAAATGTGAGTGCAAAAGAAGACGAGTAGCACTAGAGTAAAAGCGTTGGTGTTTTTCGCAACAATCAAATTTCTAGAGTTGAACTGATGACAGAATGCTGGCAGATGAGTCCAGACGATCGGCCGTCATTCACCGATCTCCGCGCCGCTCTCTTCAACGTGATTGACTTAACCTCGGCTCATTACGGCTACATTCACTTCCAAGACTATAAACGATTTAGTTTATCATAGAAATCTATTGGCTCTAATATCGTTATTTATGATCTCAGTTATCCATTGGAGTTCGGGACCGGGGTCTCTTTGAAAGTTGCATTTATTTTTCACTGCACTACACACATTTATTTGTCTGTACATAAATTTGTGGAATTGAGTATTTTCTATTCTTTTGGAGAGGGTTGAAGCTTTTTGTACATAGAAAAATAAATATTCGTTGATTTAAAAGAGATATCAAAGAAGACGATGCATCGAGAAGACAAGACTGAAGAAATGATGTGGTTTAATACTTGTTTACACTTGTTTAAATAAGACTTGTGTGATTCTTGAAGATATTTAGTCGCTTGATTGAATATTTGCAGCAAAAGGAATAAAGCAAAGTCGAAAACAGCGAGAAGGAATTGTTGTTTAAGCATGGATCAGCTACCGTATCCCTGGATGATTGAAGTTTGTCTGCTATTTATATTTTTTGTGCTCTCTTTTCATCATTGAAAGAAAATTTGTGGGGTTCAACCGTTTCATTTTTATAGATCCGTTCCTATAACCTTTAGATATTAGATTATACCTGTTAGATATTCTGCAATACTTAAAAAGCACTTACATATCCTTGAAGATAAGCTTTCTGCAACCACTTTCTTATGTTTTCATTTTATTTTCATTAAACCGTTAAAATTTTAGCTTTATTTTTAGTTTTCACCCTTTCGCGCGGGATTTCAACGATGCCCACGCAATTGAACAACGAAAACGATTTCAAATCGCTCACTTCAAATGACAAGTGGAATATATTGCTAAATTCTTATTTTAATTTGTCGTTTTAGCCTCTCGATTGTGCACTTCTACGCTTCGTGGGCTCCACAATGTCAACAATTGAACCAAGTTCTCGATGATCTTAAGGTTGGTGCTTTTTGGAATTAATTCAGCAATAATTTAAATCAAGAATAAGCTTATAAATGTTAAAGTTTTTTTCTTAAGGCTTAAGCTTATTCACAGCTCATATGTAAACTTTAGGCTGAAGCAACGACTACGTATGAAGTTGCCTACATTGACGCGGAAGAGGTGCCAGAAGCTTCTTTGGCCGCAAATGTCACCGCCGCACCGACCACAATCTTTTACAAGGTTTGTTATTGTTTTTTATGATTGATATCTTTGTTTTTAGAAAGGGAGGGAAGTTGCCCGAGTGAATGGATTTCAACCAATCGAGATTCGGACGCAAATTTTGAAGTTTTCTGGATCGCACGTAGCATCAGTTTCTGCTCCAGTTAAAGAAGTTTAAACTTTTGTTCTTCAATTTGTACTAATCTTGTTAGGATTTAAATGACCGTTTGAAGAGACTAATCAGCACAAAGCGATTGATGCTTTTCATGAAGGGAGACGCTACAACTCCTCGTTGTGGTTGGCAAAATGTTTTGTATCGTTAATCAGTTTTTTGTTTTAGGTTTCAGTCGTCAGACAATTGACCTCCTCAACGGAATCAATGCTGAATACGGCACATTTGATATTCTGAACGATGAAGAAGTTAGACAGGTAATGGGCAATTCGAGAGCTTGTTAAAAAGTAAAATTTAGGGCCTAAAAAGAATACAGCAACTGGCCAACTTATCCACAGCTTTATTTGGATGGAGAGCTTGTCGGCGGGCTGGATGTGATTCGAGAAGAGCTTCAGGATGCCGATTTTGTTGCAAGGATTCCGAAAAAAGAGGTAATGTTCAATTTTTTTGTACATTTTGTAGTTAAAATTTTATTCAATTTAGACACTCAACAATCGTTTGAAGCTATTAATCAACGCGAGTCGCTTGATGTTATTCATGAAGGGTAATGAGGAGACTCCACGCTGCGGTAGCTTTGTATTTTAATATGCACAAGTTCTTTTTACTTTTAGGTTTCAGCAAGCAAATAATCGGACTATTGAACGACGCAAAAGTGGATTTCAGAACGTTTGACATTTTGGGCGACGAAGAAGTTAGACAGGTAAAAAACATTCTTTTGAAAATTAATCTTTAAAATCGTATCTTTTAAAAAAAAACTGGAGTTTTAGGGTTTGAAAGAATACAGCAACTGGCCAACGTATCCCCAACTCTACTTGGATGGTGAACTTATCGGTGGTTTGGACGTGATACGTGAAGAGCTCAAGGATAACGACTTCGTGGAACGCTTGCCTCGTAAAGCCTAGTCTATTTTTATCGTTTTTTGTGATTATTCCAGTTTTTGGTTGCTTAAGTTTTGTTTTTTCTTTGATTTGCCCAGTAAATAAAGTTGCTTTATTAAGAAGTTTATTTAAATACGTTTGATGTTTTTTTAATGCATTGATCGATACATCTAAAATGATTTGAGATTAATGGATTGCGGTGCAAAGCCGCTTTATAAAATAGTTTTTGTTCGTTAGGTCAACAAATTTTGAATTTTGTGTAGCACATGGTGTATAGCCTAAAAGAAATTCCCATTAGTTACACGTTTGCACCGGTTTATGGAGAGTTCTCTGTCCATTTCTCTCACTCTCTCCACTCAATCCACTATCTCGCCAACCCGCGCTGTCGAAAAATTCAAACATCGTGCCATTATGCAAATTTGTCTGATCCACTAGTTCAATTTTACCATTTAAACTTTTGTTTTCTACTTCAATAAGATTACTTTATTTTTAGATGGCCGCTCAAGCAGTTCGTGAAAGGAAACAAGAACAAACGACTTCACTGCAAGGAATCCTGCAAGAAGAAGAGCTCGAAGTAGCTTACATTCCGGTCGAAAAGCTTGAGGTGGGAGCTTTCTTTCCAGTAAATAAGGCTTTTATGCTTAGACTTGCGGCTTTGTTGCCCGTGACATTACGTTGTTGAAAGCGGCTGGATATCATACCGTCGAGGCGATCGCTTTTGCTCCACGAAAGGATTTACTCGTCATTAAGGGAATCTCGGATCAGAAAGCCGAACGCCTTCAGGTATCCTTGTTTTTTGCAATGCTAATTTCAATTGATTGGTAAATTAGCAACGCTTGTTAGTTTGCTCTACGGAGTTTGAATTAATATGTTTAGGCCGAAGCGCATAAATTTGTTCCAATGGGCTTCACTACCGCTAGCGATGTTCATGTGAAGCGAAGCAATCTTGTGCAAATTAGGTAATAATTGAGATATGTATTGACAATGAATTTTCTTTTAGAACCGGTAGTGCAAATCTGGATCGTATATTGGGTGGTGGAGTTGAGACGGGATCAATTACAGAAGTAAACACTCTATTAAATGTCTTTAAATATGATGCTTTAGTTCTTTGGTGAATATCGAACAGGAAAGACGCAGCTTTGTCATATGTTGGCTGTCACTTGCCAAATGCCCGTGGTTGGTTGATAATTTGTTTCTTTAATCTGTACTAAAATAGGAAATGGGTGGAGCTGAAGGCAAGTGCATGTACATTGACACGGAGAACACGTTTCGACCTGAACGATTAGTGGCCATCGCTCAGAAGTAAGAAATTTCAATTAATTAATTTAACCAAAGTATTATTTTAGGCTTGGTCTTGATGGTGCTAGTGTGCTTGAAAATGTTGCCGTTGCTAGGTTTGTTCTTTATCTTCAAATCAAAAACTGAAATATTTTTCTTTTAATTATTTAATTTGTCGGAGCGGTCATTTTTAATTTAGGTGCTATAATTCGGAGCACTTAATGAGTCTTCTTGAACAAGCTGGAGCAATGATGGCTGAAAGTCGATATGCCCTGATTGTGGTCGATTGTGCTATTGCTCCATTCAGGTAGCTTCCTAAGTTAAAATAAAACTTTACCAACGGCAAATCTTTATTTCTGCAGGTTTATTTTTTTTTTGCAGAAACGATTACACTGGTCGCGGAGAGTTAGCCTCAAGACAACAAGCTATTGCCAAATTGATGAGATGCTTAGCTCGTTTGGCTGACATTTTTGGAGTTGCTGTGATAATAACCAATCAGGCAGGTCATTTACCGTAAATGCTGTATTAGAATGACATGTCATTCGATTTTTCGATACCCGTAGGGTGTCATTCTATTAGAGGGTGTCGTTTTATTTTTTACTCGAATGACCACTACGGATCACAAAAAGTATCGCTGCTCGGCTCAGGCCTCAGGGAATTCAACTATTGGTTTTCAAATTTTCAAACTTGAAATCTTCTGATGTGAAGTGCTCCAAATAATTATTTTCTTAATAAACACCAAAAGGAGTAAATACAAAGCGAGAAATCGGTTAAAATATGTGGAAATACGGTCAAGCAATGATTCTGCCGAGAGGTTGGTACCTCTGAACTTCGACGACGTAAAAGCCTAGGTAAATGCAATACTCTCAAAAAAAACTATTTCATGTAAGTGAGGTGTCATTCTAATACAGCATTTAGGGTATGTAGTTTATTGACTTCCTTGATAAAAATTTTTAGGTGACAGCACAAGTTGATGGTGGAGGGGGAATGTACCAGTCTGATCCCAAGAAGCCCATTGGTGGAAATGTCGTCGCGCACATGAGCACAACTCGACTTGGATTCAGGAAAGGAAAAGCCGAACAAAGAGTGTGCAAGGTATTTTGATGATTTTACTTATTTGTTTGAATTTTTATAATGATCCCCATTTCAGGTACATCAGTCCCCGTCGCTTCCTGAAGCAGAAGCCACATTTGCGATCAATGACCATGGCATTGATGATCCTGAAGAGAAATAACAAGGTTTGTCTCAAATGTGTCTAGTCAGTTATCTGTATTTGTTATTTTGTTTTTCTTATTTCTGATCTAAGGCATCTGCCTTTTTCTGTACGGGTATATCTCTTTTGCACATTCTCACTTCTTGTTCTTATCTATTAAAATTATTTGAATCATTTATTTGTTGTCGTAAATCACATTCTATGAACAAGATTCAAAAGTACAGGAAATGAAAATTTCTATAGCCACCCTGCAGAATATTTAGCGCCTTTTAGAAGAGAAAGAGAAAAATTGACGAGAAAGTTGATTACTAGACGAGTTACAGGCGAGGAAGGATGAGTCTGAAAGGCTTGATGATTTTATTTACACGATTTAACTTACCCAGCCGTAAGAGCCACTAATGGATTGGGTGTTGATGTTGTTGGATGCTCTCCTATAACAACGTTTATACTTTACAGTGTAATAGTTTGTTTTGCGATTACTTAAGCTTTGTTTATTATATTTCTTAAGTTTATAGTTATATAGAAGAAATATAATGGATGCTTACCACAACAAGATCCCATGTCAATATGGGTGAATTTGAGTGGATTGGCCGAGCTTTGGTCGTGCTCATCGAGGCGGGAAGCCTGAAATTGCGAGTGCTAGGGTGGATTTTTTTTGTTAAATATAAAACTTTACTGGTAACCGTTGGAAAGGAAAAAGATGGCGTTCGAAAAGTTGCTTATAAGTGCAAATTGATCGCTTTGTCGTGGCTGTCGGCTTACTTTTATTAGGAAAGCGGCCGGTGTCATGTGTCCTCTCAATGTCTGCACTGAGGGTCTCGTGTTCCCTTGACGCACATCGGCTTGTTCGCCCTCGGCATTGTGGAAATCGTAATCCTAATTTCTCGTTAGGATCTGTATATCTGTTTTGCCACTAAACCTCAAAATGTAATCGACTGATCTCGACGGGTTGCCCGTAAGCATCGCCAGCACTTTGGATCTTGTGCGTTGTGCGGGCATGCTGTAAACGGATTGCATCGTAAACGACGTACTCCACCCATATTTAACTCACCCTTGCCGGTCCATTGTCCATGAAAGCCGCATAATATCCATAGGTCAATGCGGCATGGCCTGTGAGTGTGGCAAGGGTGTAAAGATGCTAAAGAGAAAAGAAGAATTCAGAGATTTAGGATATATTCCTAAAGAAAAGGATTCTCATTTCATTTTGATTTAAAGATGCATCTATGCCCGTTCGCATAAGAATAGGAATAAAAACATACGGGATTCGCCTCGTGCAAAGCCTCGTCTTTTGCGCGCGTCAATGGATCAAGCATCGTTATCCGCCCTTCGGCATCCGTATTGTAAATATGGATTCGACGACCCGATCGAGCGGTGATCACCTAAGATATAATTAGCATATTGTAGTTGATTTGCGTTTTACTTCGTCACAGGTGTACGCTTTGGAGCCGATGCTGTTACGCACCATACACATGTAGCCGATCGCCTGAAAGAGCTTTTTAAAGAGTCACTTTAGCGATTAAAAGTCTTCACTCTTTACCTTGATTCCTTTTGGTTTCAACAAATCAAGAATCTTGAAGATACCGGCAACGACAGCGGCTCCGAACTTGTCACGGCACATTCCGTGCATCACTCCGTTCACCTTGAGATCACAACCACCGGTGTCGATGGTCACTCCCTGAATGGGTCTTTGTTTTGAGCATTCGCGGATAACCTCTCCGACATTCCACTAACCTTTCCGACAAAGAAATAAGTCTCATCGATTTTCCCTTCGGGATTGTACTCGAGTCGAATGAGACGCGCCTAAATGTAGGAGAAAAATGAGAGAAAGAGGCTTTTTTTCCACATACATGATGCTCTTTGATCCCACTAGCCGCTCGATTCACGGCTGCCATCAATGGGTATTCTTTAGCGATTTCATCTTGATCCGACGTCACTTCCACTTTAATCGAACTGCCCGAAAAGGCTTCCTAGATATGGACATAGAGTTAAAAAGACTGTAAAGGGGGATTTTCCGGGTCAACGTCAATAGGTAGCCAACGGAAAATGCCAAATGCTGGCTAATTTCACTTCAATCTTTTTGATTTTCATTTCAATTGATAGAAAATGAAATTCTGCGTCAAATGATATCAAAATCCAAAAGATCGGAGCAAAACTAGCCGAGATATGTCATTTTTTTCGTTGCACGCACGCCTATTGGCGTTCAAACGGAAAATTCAGAGGTCAAGTACAAGTAGAAGCTGATATTTGATATTTAGTTTAATTTCTGACCTCGATGTAGTCAGCGACTCGGGGTGGAGCCATTCGTTGTGGATCAGTTTCTCCGACGTCTCGAGAAACGGTGAACGCCTCTTCCATGGCTAGCAGCAATTTGTCGATCGATGTACACTCCTAAAACTTTTACTTATCTATTTCTAATAGTTCTATTACTGATAGTAATCCGATTCTCTCGAGTTTTTGCTTGTTTTCCTCAAGGCGAACGTTGAGTGGAGTGTATGATGGCATGAGAGCGCCGAGAGCGGAAACGAATTCCGCATGCGGATGAGCCGCATTTGGGACGGTGACAAGGAGTGGAGAACGGAGACCGGCCGAAAGAGCTCTGCAAAAGATTAGCTTGTTCTGTAACCGATTTCGCTATAGAGCCCAGAATCTAGTATAGAATATGGGTCTATTTCTAAAGGAAGCCTCTAGATCAAATACTAGATCTAAGTACTAGTAGCCTTTAGCTTTAGCCTCTAGCTTTAACCAAATCCCCAAAGCCGAAAACTCTCTCAATTCTTTGACTTCATCAATTCCCCTCCAGTGATCTTTGCTTTAATTTTTATCACGCAAACTCGTAACCATAAAATGAATATCGATTAGAATTCTAGAAAACCGAAAAGGCGCGAAAAATCACAGCGCTTTTTTATCAGAAAATTGAGAAATCTTTTTACGACTTCATGGGAACACGGATCCTACAAGCAATTATGCGAACAATTCGCACGCTCGCAAATTCTGCTGAGCGAGGCACACAATTTTTTCGTATCATGCCAAGAATTTCTCGCAGATGACGCCCACACAAGTCTTCCGGCGTGGACTTTCCAATTTTTCCAAATTTTTCGAGGAAAATTTTTGGGGTATTGCTTGATAAGCGAGGGTGATAACAGATTGACACGAGTGGAGGGGAGGACTTGAGAAATAGACAGGCTTCCGATTCATGTCATGTGGGGAGTTGTCGAGGAAAATAAGTTGTAAACGGGGCAATCAAAAAGTGATCGGGGAACAATCGATTGTTGAGAATTCTTTGAATCTAGACCAGACAACAATTAGGGTTTTTAGCTGCTCATTGAATTAAGCTCTATTTTTCATTTTGAAATCATGCTGGTGTCAGCCGAATTGTTAGATCGTCATAGTTATGGGAAATCAGAAGCTGCTAATCGATCCTCATTCTTTGTTTAGAGGCTATTTTTTGAGACAATATCGATAAGTTCATCTGTTAATCTATCTTTCAATCCATCCGAACCTTATTCTTTAGAAAACCCATTCTTGAGTGGAAATTCAAGATTTTATCAAATACTCTCGTAGTCTTTTGAATTGTCAGCTCTTTGTCAGTTTTTTGAATTGTCAGCTCTCTAGCTGTCATCCACTTCTCCAAATCCAGCTGGCATTGTCTCTCAAACAAAGAAATGAAGAGGCAAAAACTTATCCATGCCCGGGAAATTTCGTTGAAAACTGATAGCCGAGACGCCAGAAATTAAGGATTATCCACGGGGAAGTGTCGTCATTTGATAAAGAAACAATGGAATACAAGAATGGAATTAGAAATGGGAAGAAGGGGCAAAGTGCGATGAGGGGAAGGCTTTCGAAATCAGAAGTCACGTAGTGGACGGGTAGGCTAGAGAAAGCGGAGATCAAGACAGCTGGATTCGAAATGTTAGATCTAAATGCTAGATCTAAATGTTAGATCTAAATGCTTTGAAGAATCTAAGGGTGTTCTTTGGTAATCCTAATTGCTAAAATTCTTAAAAAAGCGCCCAATAGACATAGGCTTTTTGTAGAAAACGAGTCATTTCCACGTTTTAGCAAACAGCTCTTTTTTTCTAAAGCTCAACATAGCATTGTATCCACGCTTTAGAAAAGTAGAACTGTTTGTTAAAACGTGGAACTGACTCGTTTTCTACAAAAGCCTATGTCTACTGGGCGCTTTTTTTTTTTTAAGAGTTTTAGCAATTAAGATTACTAAAGAACACCCTTAGATTCCCCTCAAAGCAAAGCCAGAAATATAGTTTGAAGGCTTCAGGCTTTGCGTACTTTTTTAAAGAAACATATCCGACTTTACGACATTATTATTTCCACGGTTGGATCTTTACTGCTTATTCACGTTGAAATATTTCACTCACAATTTCATAGCTCTCGTTGCAGCCTGGGAGAAGCGTCTCACGTCGTCATAATCTCTTTCCAATGGTCCCGTCCCGGAAAAGATCAATCGGCCGCTTGGCACTTCCGATTTTGAGACTGGGATGAGTGAGGCGGTTGAGTGCACGGATTTGTTAAGCTGCAAAAATGAAGAGAAAAATTGATATAGAGTCTAGTTTTTGAATTCAAAAGAAAGACAATGGGGAATTAGGTGAGAGTCACCTATGAGAGCGATAGCAACATAGTTCAGCTGTTGTTCGATTCTTTGAGTGTCACTGATCACATTTCAAAACGTATAGAGTTTGATTGTTACCGTATTCTCTCTATTAGTAGTGCACCTCGGCGAGCCGAGTTGGTGACTGTTTTACGGTTTTCAAGCTTTTGCAGAAGCTCAACACTTAAATCCCCCACTAGATCTCATCGTCAGCTACATTTTCCGACCCCACATCGATAGATTCTGATAAGCGGTTCTCGAGATTTCGAGTAATTTAGGGGAAGCTTTTGGTGCACTACTATTAGAGAAAATACGGTAATCAGAAAAGGTGTTTTTGAATTATACAATTTACAGTATTTATACATTCGATGAAGCTATGCAAACGCCTTTCAGATCACCCCAAAAAAACGATAAACTTCTTTAGGCTTAGGTTATTGATTTGTGAAAAGCAAAACAATTATAAACAAGCTGGGTTATTCAGTTTTAAGAATTCACAAACCGATGCATAATCGATAAGCGTTTGTCCGATCGTTTTGAGTGGTTGATATTGACTAGCGGTGTTCACACAATTCGACACGATTAGTACTCCATCGTAAATCGGATCGGAGATGGTTGTCGCACGAACGATCGGACACGAGAGCAGGCTGAATTTCGATGGATACAGAAAATTGACAGAATTACATGTGGAAACTCATTTTACTATTGAAAGCACATATACTTTAGTGTTCTTGAATCTTTTCTGCACAATAAAAAGATCGGATCTCGTTATCGTTGTCCAATACTTACTTAATTACTTAATTACTTAACTACTTAATTACTTAACTACTTAATTACTTAATTACTTAATTACTTAATTACTTACCAAATACTTACCAATACTTATTACTCTACAGTAATAAACGAGCGTACAACTTGTATACAAATAAAAACAAAATATCCAATCAATTTTAAATCATCTTTTTTTCTCACCTCCTCAAATTGAAGGACATTTTTGGGCGAACGGAGTTTGAGTAAATCCTTTTCTAAGCCTGAAACGAGAATTGATAAAAAGTAGTTAAAGAAAAGTGATTAATGAACAAATGTAAAGATATTAAACTTGAAGAAAAAGTAAAAAAAAGACGAGCATCAAGACAAATTATATAAAGAAAAAAAGCCTCTTCTTTAGTTAGAGTTAGAAAATAATAGAAAGAGATCGATTTAAAATTATGGTGAACAAGTGGAACGGTGTTGAACTGCATATGTTACGAACTACGAAAAAGAACGGGCACAACTAAAAATGAGTGACGAGACGAGAAAAGGGATCAGAGTCAATTTGAGAAGAGAGGAATTGGGGGAAAAGAGTGAATGAAAAAGGGGAGTGGATAGGAGAAAGAAAGTCAAAGAGAACGGCGGGGAAAGGGGTGATTTTCCCCACTCTGCTGACCACTGTATTGCCTCTTGAAAATGATGTTTAGTGGCTGACAGAGAGAGTGATTTGGAATCACTACAACTAAGAAAAACAATTAGTGGTTCTAAGGGTCAAATCTTAATTGATTGTCTAAAGTAAAGAAGAAACTAAAGTCAAAGTAAAGAAAACTAAAGCCAAAGTAAAGAAGAAACTAGAGTCAAAGTAAAGTAAACTAGAGTCAAAGTAAAGTAAACTAAAGTCAAAGTAAAGAAGAAACTAAAGTCAAAGTAAAGAAGAAGCTAAAGTCAAAGTAAAGTAAACTAGAGTCAAAGTAAAGAAGAAGCTAAAGTCAAAGTAAAGTAAACTAAAGTCAAAGTAAAGAAGAAACTAAAGTCAGTGATTTTATTAAATTCTACTAAAGAAACTAAAGTCAGAAGGTTTTCTATTAAAAATTCAATAAAATTAGAGAAAAGTTTTTAGAAAACGTTTGAAAAGCTTTTAATCGACTTATCAGAAATTTCTTTCAAATAAAATAGTAAATTCTTTTGGTTTAAAAGCGATTTAAAAGGGAAAGAAGTTGAAAACCATCAACGAAATTGAAAAGAAGAGAAAAGAAGAGAAAAGAAAAGATTTTCCCTAAGAAAAGCTGACAAAAAGAAGAAGAGAAACTGAAGAAAAGGAGGCTAGCTTCAAGTCTCAAATAAACTAATCAGTTCCAGTCAAATTCTTAACAGGGAAAATCACTCCCCGCGTGATCACGCCTCTAAATTCTTCTTGTGTCTTCTGGAGAGCCTTTTTTTACCCTCAAATTTCCCCCAGACCAAGCCAAGGGCAATTGGCCAAAATTTACGGTTGAACTCGTTGAGAATTCATCCAGTTTTGTGATCAGCTTTGAGAAAAAGTCATGTGATTTTTTATATCACCTGTTCTGGGGGATTTCCTTGAATAAGTTGACTAATTCTGGAAATGAAACAGTGAAATGAATTGCGGCTAAAGATTTTGGCAATAAAAATAAGCGAAAAATTTTTAGAACAAAATAAACAAAATTGTTGTGTTGTGCTTTGTGGCAACTCTAAATTTTCTAGTTTTTTTTTTAAGTTGAATTCTCTTTACACTGGATGAAAGGCTTAGAAGAATTCAAAAAGGAAATGGTTTAAAAAAAACACGTACAAAATGAGAAAAGTTGGACGAGTTATCAAGCTTGCTTGCAAGTTTATTTCAAATTTGAAAAAGTGAACTTTTGTACTTCAAAAGTACGGAAAACATCGAGAAATCTTTATTTCAAGAAGTGCATAAGATTTTTGTTGATCTTTTCAATCATATCGTTTAATCGTTTGTTCAATTGGCTTGTTCTTTTTTGGCATTGGGATTGGCATTGGCGTTGGCATTGGCATTGGGATTGGCATTGGCGTTGGCATTGGCATTGGGATTGGCATTGGCATTGGGATTGGCATTGGGATTGGCATTGCCGTTGGCATTGGCATTGGGATTGGCATTGCCGTTGGCATTGGCATTGGCATTGGCATTGGGATTGGCATTGGGATTGGCATTGCCGTTGGCATTGGCATTGGGATTGGCATTGGCCTTATTTTTGCCATTCAACGCCTCCTTAAACAACTTTTGAAACAGATATCGAAAAGTGACGAAATCTTTCGGACCCAATTGCTGCAACAGTTGAATGCCCGTGTAGATGGTGAACCCGAAAATTGTATTGAGGACGGGGTGGGCGACCGGTTGAAAGAAAATCGAAAGTCATCTTTCGATATGAATCACTCACAAGGATCATCGTTATCGTTGACCATGTCCCATAAGTACTCACCAATGCGATCACAAAATCAATCAGATCTGAATGTGAAATCAATCAGACCTTTAAAGCTACTTAAGCAGCTTGTTTTTAAAAGTCATAAATACTTTTTTGCCTAAAAATTGCCTAAAAAAATGCCTAAATCTGCCTTTTTTGCCTAAAATCGACTAATATTAGACTTAACTTCAACTTTTTTGCCTTTTAAAACTTAAATCTTTTAATGATGCAATGTTTGTATAGAAATTAAACCTTGACAAAACCATATCCGAAAGTAGACGATCACGTAAATCGTTGAGAATGCAGGTAAAATGATGAAAAATGGAGAGAAAGTTTGAAAATAGAGAATCATAAGGAGTTTCTTTTCAAGTTTTTTCGTTCGTTGACTGAAATGGCATGGCTTGTAGTCATTTTTTTTGGCTTCAAACCTTCCATTTCGATTGTTCACATAAAGCCAAGAGGCTAAAGCGATAGTGATTGCTCCAATCATATAAATCATTCCCAACCAGAAGATCGTTGTCACTGAAACGCAAGAAATCTAAGGATCTAAGGATCTAAGGATCTAAGGATCTAAGGATCTAAGGATCTAAGGATCAATTTTGAGCTGAAAGTCAGCGGCTACTTTACGCCAAATAACTTTCTTCTAAGTGAGCCGATCTTTATGATTTATAATGTGATTTTGTAGATCTTAAAAAGTGCAACAAAAATGACACCACAAATCGTAAAGATTGGCTCACTTTAGAAGAAAGTTATGGCGAATTGTGCAAATGATTTAGTTGGGCAAAAAATTTGGCGCATAGTAGCTACTCACGGAAATTCAGAGCTTCTTTTAGTCTAGTCAAATGTTTTACAGTATACTATAAGCCTTGTCTACTGTATGCACTGAATATCTTTTGGAATTCTTCAAAAGCCAGACTTCTAAACTGCTCTTATCCGCAAAGTCAAAAGCTGAATTTTGAAAGAAAATCTAGCTAACTACATACTTTTACTTTTGCTGTACTATGCTTTATCAAAAGTTTGATTTTTCTGTACACTTACCCCAAGCATTTGCTATCCAATCATCTCGATATGTCATTGCTAACATTTGTGGTTGATTCAAGAAATCGCTGATGAATGGATATTGCTAAAATATCGACATTGAAAACAATGCTACAGTAAAATATAAATTAAATATCAATATAAAAAAAAAGTAAATTCACCATCACAAGTTTCCCCTTTGCTTGTTGCGTATTGATAAAGAGAAAATAAGCGAATGGGAGATGAATGCATAAACATAAATGATACATAAAGCTGAAAGGATTAAACAAGGATGAACAATAGAATCGAAAATGGAACAATGGAACAATAAAAAGCTCTCTAAACTTACACTAAAATCAAGACAAACGTTTTCCTTTTTAATTTGAATGGATGACCAGGCGAGAGAAGGATTTGAATCTTCTGAAAAAGCGTTTGAAAGATTGCGGCGGGGAGGAGTGAGGCGCTGACGACAAGTGCAATCTGAAGACTTTTACAAAGATTTTACTATGATTTATTTACAAAATGACTGACCACACAAATGAATGGATGAATGTGAAACCATTTGTAGGCGATTCCACGAAAATCACCAGCGATTAGCGGGAAAAATCCGTGTGGTTCAGTGATGAAAAAGCATAAAATATCCCAAAAAGCGCTGATTATCTTTAAATGATTTTATGGAAATTGATCGTTTAAAAAAAACCTTAAAACAACAACGTTTATTTCAATTGAAGAGCCAATAGAATTGCTTTATTTTTTCGGATTTCTTGAATTTTGTTCAACAAAATGTTTAACTTTTAACTACCGTATTTTCTTTAATAGTAGTGCACCCCGGTGAGCCGAGTTGGTCACTATTTTACGGTTTCGAAGCTTTTGCAGAAGCTCAACACTCAAATCCCCCACTAGATCTCATCGTCAGCTACATTTTCCGACCCCACATCGATAGATTCTGATAAGCGGTTCTCGAGATTTTAAGCAATTTAGACAAAGCTTTAGGTGCACTACTATTAGAGAAAATACGGTATAATATTTATAGACTAAAGAACTTAATGAAACCGAAAACTAGATTCCAACAAAACACTTTTTAAGCTCATGAAAAGCTATAGCTGTTACTAGAGTAAGATAAAGAGAGACATTGAAGAATAGAAGACCTGACTTTTATTAGAGTTTTTATGTTATGAACCTGAAAATTGAGCACATGATATTTGAGAATGTTGGACGTTAGATGCGATGAGCAAAATGCAGCCAAATAAAAGCCATAAAAGAGAATTGGTGTGGCCACGATTTTCAAGAATAAATAGACGTAAGTCAATGGGATAAATGTGTTTTCAAAAGGGGATTCGTTCTAAAGAAAGAAAATGATTGAAGTTGGCAGCATGAGTCGCTAAGAAATATGAGTTTTCACTATTAGAATCGGCGTTGATTTGTTTGAGAATAAAGTGCACTTCATGCAATGCAATGCAATGCAATGCAACTTCTCAACTATTTCCAAATTTTGTTTTCACTCTAAAAAACGTCCTTGCGTAGCTCTGTGTAACTCTGCGTAACTCTGCGTAACTCTGCGTAACTCTGCGTAGCTCTGCGTAGCTGCTCAACCAAACGAAATCGTTGACCGTTTGTTTTCATTCATTAAATTTCTTAGAGCGAAAAGATTGAAATATTTTGGTTGATAAAGTAAAGGATTTCTGTTTGCATTTGCAAAACCAACTAGTTTCACCGCTCTGACACATGCCCATCTCTCATCCTCATCCACATTATTGCAAAGAAGCAAATCTTGATTCATAATAAAAGATTGCTTTTATGAAATAATCATTATGAATTCAAATACAATGATACAATGACTTTGAAATTCTAAAAAACGTCTTTGCGTAGCTCTGCGTAACTCTGCGTAGCTGCTCAACCAAACGAAATCGTTCACCGTTCAGGGCAGCAAGAAATTTGGAGCACTTTTTAGAATAGTTAAATTTTAGAATAATACAATGACGAATGACTTTTTTTGATAGATTCAAGAAAATTCTTGAGCAGGTGAACTCTTCGCGTATTGTACCTCAAAGTATCAAAGGTTAAAAGCCGTCGCTAGGCTTTCAAAAACATTTTTTTTTGAGTGTCTACCCGATAGATTTATTAATTACGAAAATTTAGAAGTAAAATATTGAAGTCTATGGTTTCAAGTGCATGCGGTGAGCTGACTTTCGGGAATCGTTTTTTGCGTGATCGTCGTGGAGAGTGGTTTGACATGACGAAAGAGGGAAACATCGACCATTCGATCCCGCACACAATACAACATTCCCTCGAGGGATTCCAGTTCAGCTACCTGGAAATGAAAACGTTTGGAAACGAGATAAATACTAATAAGCAGAGTTTATCCTATACGTTAATTGTAGCTACCGTAAATACTGTAATAGTACCCCAACCCCATAATGACGGTGCGGAGTGTTGGGTAGTCTAGCTTTGAACGAGTTTTTCTCGACACTGGTTTATGCTACAATGCGCGCTTAGGTATCAAAAAATAGCTGCATTTCAGGGCTATTTTTTGATATCAAAAACGAATTTTTTGAAAGTACGGGTGCTTTGCAAAAAATGAAATACTAAAAAACTTTTGCGACTACGCGACTGTACGAGGGCGGTGGGGTACGGTGGGGTAGTTAGTTAGATAGCTAGTTAGATAGTTAGTTAGATACCGTAAATACTGTAATAGTACCCCACCCCCCTCGTACAGTCGCGTAGTCGCAAAAGTTTTTTAGTATTTCATTTTTTGCAAAGCACCCGTACTTTCAAAAAATGCCTCTTTAGTATCAAAAAATAGCTGAAATTGAGGGCTATTTTTTGATAAATAAACGCACATTATAGCATAAACCAGTGTCGAGAAAAACTCGTTCAAAGCTAGACTACCCAACACTCCGCACCGTCATTACGGTGGTGGGTACTATTACAGTATTTACGGTAATTGTAAATGGTAAATTGTTTTGCTGGTAATGACAGAGGATTGATGGTTTACTGAAAAGGCGTAAGACAAAATGAAAAACTTGAATTGATCCAAGTAGAGTACTGCTACAAAATGTAAGTTTAATAATGAGATTTAATAAAATTCTAATATGATCATTTTCTAGGTGGAAAAGTCTTCTCTTTAAATGTTGTTTCCTAAAATCTAGCTTTCCATGAGTTCTAGTGATTTCTAAGAATGCTTTTCATAAGTTAGCTAATCAGCTAATCAAGTTAGCTAATCAAAAACAATCAAAAACTTTTTACTAATTCCCTTTTTATAAGAAAACTTTTGAATTTCGCTTACAAGAAAATGTTCAAATGATTTAAAAACAAACAAATTTAATAAGACGCACCTTTTTATTATGCAAATAAATGTTTGGATAGCTGTGGAAGAAATTTGGTCGATGATAGATGATCGAGTTGAATAAAGAAGCCACCATTAGATCAGCCCATGTCATCTGGAAATTGCGGGGGAAATTGGTTCGAAGTTTACCAGTCGAAGTTTACCAGTCGAAGTTTAACACCAGCAAACTTTACATCTTATTAAATTGGGAATGATGAGATGGTGGTGTCTTTAAACGAACTTTTGAAAAAAAAACTAAACCATAACTTTTTTGCTAATTGACAATTAAAGTTTCGCTGATTATACGCCAAAATTTGCTCTCTGATGCATCTCAATCTGTTTTTTTTTGAGGAATGGCAATGGATGTGATGATCGATAAAGGTCGATTTTTGACTACCACTTAACGTGACGATGTTTGTCACAAAAATACTCGACTAAAATCCAGTTAAAACGTCTATTTTATAAGATAATAGAAGTCAAGTGCTTGATAGTAATTAAAGATTGAAAAAAAAAGAAATATCTGATTAGAGTGAAACCTGGGAATAGCTCAAAAAGTCACAGGTTTATATTCGAAAATTTTCTCGTTAACGATTTTTATTTATGTTTATTTTTGTTAACAAATTCGTACAAACATATTGGCTTAAATGGTTTTTTCGAATCGGGTTGGATTTTAAGGGAAAATTAGGTACGTTTTTTTTGTTAAACAAATCCTCTCACATTCCTCAAAAAAAACTGCATCAGTTTAAGATCAAATTTTGGTGTATAATCAACAAAACTTCAAAGCAAAGCAAAAAAGAAAATTGAGATAAAGTTATGGTTTAGTTTTTTTTCAAAAGTTTGTCCGAAGACACCGCCATTTCACACTTCCCAATTCAATGGTTACTAAAGTTTGGAAGGCCCTAGTAAAGTTTGGAATGCCCTACTAAAGTTTGAAATGACCTACTAAAGTTTGAAATGCCCTACTAAAGTTTGGAATGCCCTACTAAACTTTGGAATGCCCTTCCCGACAAGTTGCGTTTGATCTCCACCGTGTCTGATTTTAAAAGGGCTATTTCGTTGCATTTTAAGTGACTTTGTCATCTTTTATCTAGTACATTTTTCATGTCGTTTTCGCACTTTATTTCTTTCTGAATAAAGTATTTATCTTAAAAAAAAATATTAGAGTGTGTTCCTCGCGAGCAAGTAATTACTCGAGTAGATTTGCATGAGTAATTTTTTTACTCGAGTAATAGCTCGAGCAATTGTCGAGTAATGCGTTTTCTAAAAAGTGCGCCTGCGCGAAAAAAATATAAAAGCAATTTTTTGCGCAGGTTTTAGGGTAGGCTAGTTTCCACAAATTTCTTTGAGCAACAGGGTTATTTGCACAACTGGGTCATTTGCGCAACTCACCAAAACTTTCTTTTAAGTGAACCAATCTTTACGATTTGTAGTGTCATTTTGTTACACTTATTGAGATCTACAAAATGACACCAAAATCATAAAGATTGACCGACTTAGAAGAAAGTTATGGGAAATGGAAATTTTGTAGATCTCAATAAGTGTAACAAAATGACACTACAAATCGTAAAGGTTGGTTCATTTAAAAGAAAGTTTTGGTGAGTTGCGCAAACGACCCAGTTGCGCAAAAAAAATGCGGAAACCAGCCTACCCCCAGGTTTTTCAAAAAAAAAATCATTTTTTACATTGGAAGGGAATTTCCCACCAAATCAGTTAAACGACTGAGTATCTTTAGAAAGTGTCATATATAATGCGGGGCTCGTGATTTTTGCGTCATTTTTTTTGCTATAAAAGTACGGTAATTTTTTCCCAAGTAATTTTTTTTAAAAAACGCATTACTCGCGAGGAACAAAATCTATTCAATAGTTGTATAACAAAAGAAAAAGCAAAACTTATCACCTTATGTCCAATAAGCCACGATGAGCCACTTTTAAGTAAAATATTCTCAATGATCGGTCCCAAATAACCGTCTAGATACTCTAACGCGTATCGATCCGAGCACTCTGGCTAAAAGAATTTTGAAATCAAAAACTAAATGAATAGAATAACCTTTGAATAGTCGATACTTTTGTATTCGATATGATCGAGCCAGGGTTGAAGTTTTTGTTTTGCTTCGTGAATCGTTTCAGCGATCATATCAACCATCGAATCTTCGAGCGCTGTTTGACCGGAAAGATCTGAAAATTTTCTTTAAAAAGGTTTAAATGAACTTTAGAAAAAATGAAAATCGATAATAAAGTTATATAAATTTGAAATCTTAAAAAGATATCACCAAATCTCCATCCCAAATGTCGACAAATTGTGGTAGCGTTTCCGATTTTAGCTCCATCAATCTCCAACACTGGCACACTTCGGAGTGGAAGATCTAGAGAATATGAAAGTTGAAAACTTGTGTAAAAGTTAGTTCTTAATTAAAGCAAGCTCTATAGCTAAGCAAGAAGTGCTGCACAATATCAACATACCGTAAATACTGTAATAGTACCCCAGCCCCATAATGACGGTGCGGAGTGTTGTGTAGTCTAGCTTTGAACGAGTTTTTCTCGACACTGGTTTATGCTATAATGTACGTTTATTTATCAAAAAATAGCCCCGAATTTCAGCTATTTTTTGATATCAAAAACACATTTTTGAAAGTACGGGCGCTTTGAAAAAAATGAAATACTAAAAAACTTTTGCGACTACGCGACTGTACGAGGGCGGTGGGGTACTATTACAGTATTTACGGTATCTAACTAACTATCTAACTAACTATCTAACTAACTACCGTAAATACTGTAATAGTACCCCAGCCCCATAATGACGGTGCGGAGTGTTGTGTAGTCTAGCTTTGAACGAGTTTTTCTCGACACTGGTTTATGCTACAATGCGCGCTTAGGTATCAAAAAATAGCTGAAATTCAGGGCTATTTTTTGATATCAAAACACATTTTTACGGGCGCTTTGAAAAAAATGAAATACTAAAAAAACTTTTGCGACTACGCGACTGTACGAGGGCGGTGGGGTACTATTACAGCATTTACGGTAATTATTTTCCCTCTAAACGCACCTTGAATCGTGATCTCATCGACTTCTTTCATCTCGTACGGAATATTCGCAATCGAGAAGATCATTCGAATCACCTAGAAAATTTGAAATGAAGACGAAGCCAAAGTTCCAATCTTCTATTGCGAGTTTTCAGAAGTCCGTGGGCCAAAAATGTAGGGGTTAATTTTTTTTTAGATTTTATACAAAGATTCCCAAACCTGACTACTTTCCTGATCGGCTTTGTCATAAAGAAAAAATTTCGGCAGTTTGCAAAACATTTTCTAAATTGATAATAGCATTACATTGTGATTTGAAAACCCCCACTCGTTTTCGTTTATCCTTTGTCTCCGATCCGTAGTTGCAAGTGATCAAGATCTCCTGGAATCAAGTGTTTGAAAGTGAGAATTTTCTAAAATCTACCTTAAAACCTTCTTCGGATTTGGTGATGATTTTTGGATGAGCTTGGCTTGGAGATTTTGATGACTGAATGGATTTTGATGGCGGGGATTTCGAGTCTACGATTTGTTCTCGATTTTCTTCTTCTTTTTTCGTCTCCGCTTTTTGATTCGACTCGTTCGCTTTCTTGGCCTTCTAAATAAAAAAAATGATTGAAATAGTTCACGGAAGTTTATCTGAAACTTGAAAAGGAAATCAAGAGCTTTACTTTTAAATTGGTAACTACTGACTGTTTAAACTTGTGAGAGGATGAGAGTTTGCTTTCATTGTAAACTTTGAGCACACTTGGACTTAAGCGTGGGTCAACTAGCGACTCACTTTCATTCAACACTCAATTTTTCACGCTACCAGTTAAACAGCTCTTTGGGGAAATGGAGAGTCGACTGTACTAGGATTTCCTAGGATGGATTTCTCCGGTTCTAGGATTTCCTTGGATCCCTGCCTCTAAGCCTTGAGCTGCTGATAGAGAATTTCTTTGAATACATGAATATTTTTGCAATTACTACGCAAGTTATCATTAAATAGATAAAAGCTACCAGTTAAGAGTTACCAGTTTTCTTTCAAAAACATACAATAATCAATTCCCTTCCACTGAAGAATGATCTAGTGACAGAGAATTGAGAGGTTGATGGGAAAATTGAGCACACAGAATGAGTAGATTTAGGAACAGATTCGAGTGAAATAAACGAATTCTCAAGGGTTTCTTGGGGAGCGGTAATGTTAGGAAATGATGTTGAAGAGAATGGAAAGGGTTCGGCTTCTTCTTGAGCTTCTTCTTCTGCAGCTATTTCCGCTAGCATGGCTTCTTCTTGAGCGAAGAATAGCATTTCACTTGACGCCACTGCATCTGTTTCTCCAGCAAAGAGCTGGGTATCAGCATTTACTGTGATTTCATCTTTAGCAAATGAAACTTGATCTCTAGCTTCTTCAGTAAAGAAGTGTCGATTCTTTTGATCAAGAGAATCCGAGCTGCCCTCTGATGGAGAATCGAAAACGCTGTTGTTTTGGCGAATCTTCGAGAAATCAAAATCACTGGGTCTTCGAAAATAGTTTGTGATTGGTTCTAGACATGGCAGAGAAAGAGTGCGGATTCGTTTAGGAGACCGAAGATTTTGTGCTAAGTTCATTGAAAAGATTACTCAATATTCCAAGTCTGGACTTCCAAGTCCAAGAGAAGTACAGTTTGGGTCAAATTCTAAGCTCAACTTATAGAAGCTGTACAGTAAATCTGTCAGCTAAGAATATGAAGAGTTGAGAATTTGTAGATTTGAACAGGTTGAGCTACAGTTGAGTACAATAAATGAAGCTGCTAGATTAATCAATATCACGAACAAAATATCAGACTTAGTGAGTTGGAATGGGTTGAATGATCTCAACCCAATGGAATCTACTAATGACTCTAAAGCTTTTTCCTAGAGAATCGGGTGATCAATGAGCATTTTCTCTTTTCCTTTTGATCTCAAAGAGACTCCTCCTCTCATAATTCATTGGAGCTTTTTTTTTTCTTTCATGGATTGCCTCGATTTCCTCAATAGATCATTAAGTTTAGAGTTTCACGAAGAGTTTAGGAAATAAAGATTTAAATCAATAGGTTATGAATCAATTGAAAATCAATAGGGGAATAGTTTATAAATTAATTGAGGATCAAAATAGGTCGTGGTGGATTAAGTTGTACGGGATTTTACAAATATCAATTCTAATACAAGTTGAAATCGATTTCAAAACACGGCTATCTAGCTGAATACCCAAAAAAATTAAACTTTATTATAGAATTGGACTTGAATTTGGAAACACTTGGACTTAAGGCGTGGGTCAACTAGCGACTCACTTTCATTCAACACTCAATTTTTCACGCTAACAGCTAAACAGCTCTTTGGGAAATGGAGAGTCGACTGTACTAGGATTTTCTAGGATGGATTTCCTAGGATGGATTTCCTAGGATGGATTTCCTAAGCTACAAGATCGAAATGAAATCTAGATTTCGTCCAAAAATTTGCGAAATCTGAAAGCTGATTAATCCCTGCTGATCATTGATTTTCTTTTTTCATCGATCATAAATTTTCCATTCGCTATTCGTGCGGTCTTATAGCAGAAAGAGAAGAAAAGTTAATTGTGTAAAAGCGTGAAAAATGACCCAACCTTTTTCTGTGCTCTTTTACCGGATCACATTGCTTACTGAGCTTTTATTTGGTTCATTAATCGAGGTTTTTTTTGAGAGAACCTCTTGGATCCCGGGATTTTCTCGGGTCGAAAGGAAACTTTTCGAGGTTTTCATGATAAATGACTAGGGGTATAGTTAATTGATGCACCAAGTGGAAAGATTTATCGAATTTGAGAATTGGGGAAGTGGATTGGATTGGATTGGATGAAATGTTTGAGAGATCTCTAGTGGATAAGATTGAAATCGGGAAATAATCCACTAAATTAAATAGTTAAAGTAAATAGCCTCATCGAATGATGCCAAAAGTTAAGTTAGATAGTTAGCTAGATAGTTAGTTAGTCAAATAGTTAGTTAGATAGTTAGTTAAATAGTTAGTTAGATAGTTAGATAGTTAGTTAGTTAAATAGTTAGTTAAATAGTTAGTTAAATAGTTAGTTAAATAGTTAGTTAAAGAGTTAGTTAGATAGTTAGCTAGATAGTTAACGAGAGATCTCTACGGATAAGATTGAAATCGGGAAATAATTCACTAAATTAAATAGTTAAAGTAAATAGCCTCATCGAATGATGCCAAAAGTTAAGTTAGATAGTTAGTTAGTCAAATAGTTAGTTAGATAGTTAGCTAGATATTTAACGAGAGATCTCTAACGGATAAGATTAAAATCGGGAAATAATCCACTAAATTAAATAGTTAAATAGTTAATTATATAGTCAAAATTAACCAAAATGAGAATTAAATTATGAGAATTAAATTTGACCCAAAAAATCCTTGTGTACTGGTTAAAAGGTCAAGTCATAGCGGGTATGTTTAGACACTTTTAAGCACAAAGTACAGCTAAATGCAAGTGAATGATTTACAAATGGAATAAAGAGTAGAAAAGAAAGAATATCAAAAGAACTTATGAAAGATTTATTTCTTGTAAAAAGTCAAAAAAAAAGACCGGTTTTCATCGTTTAAAAATTCTCAACAAACCTTTCAAATCGTGGCGATTTTGGAAAAGAATTTGATGAATTTGTTGAAAGGTTTGTTTGAAAAAAAGAGTCTAAAAATTGCATTGCAAAGAAAAGTTTCAGGAATTTGGTAAATAGGTAATAAAAAAAATTGATAAATTTGATGAAAATCGCAAGGGAAAAAGGAGAGAGTCAACAGAAAAGGAGAACGGGGATTTGAAGGGGGAACGGTGACACAAATATTTCGATTTTTGTAATGTCTAGATTACAATGCGTTCTTTCTCGGCTAAAGCAATATTATATTTCAGAAAATTACCATAATCAAATCGTCAGTTTGTACATTGAACTTTTCAATTTGACTACCAAAAGTTAAGTTAGATAGTTAGTTAGATATTTAGTTAAATAGTTATTTAGTTAAATAGTTAGTTAAATAGTTAGTTAGATAGTTAGTTAGATACCGTAAATACTGTAATAGTACCCCATCCCCCTCGTACAGTCGCGTAGTCGCAAAAGTTTTTTAGTATTTCATTTTTTTCAAAGCGCCCGTACTTTCAAAAAACGCGTCTTTGTTATCAAAAAATAGCTGAAATTCAAGGCTATTTTTTGATACCTAAGCGCGCATTGTAGCATAAACCAGTGTCGAGAAAAACTCGTTCAAAGCTAGACTACGCAACACTCCGCACCGTCATTATGGGGGTGGGGTACTATTACAGTATTTACGGTAGTTAGTTAAATAGTTAGTTAGATAGCAAAAGTTGGATAAAAGATAAACTGGCAGTTGGATTCTTTTTCAAAACTGTGAAGCGATTGGTACAATGAAAATAGCCAAATACCTAAACGATTCTAGAATCTGTGAAGACTTTACGAATGGAAGGGTATAGATCTGTTTTGTTCTATAAAGGGTATAGAGCTTTTTTTGATCTATAAAGGGTAATGCAGCTGTGTGAATTGACTCAAAAAAAGGAGTCTCTTGGGAGAGAGGGGAATCTTTTTATGAGGCAAAAAGTCAAGCATTCAACTTTTTTCTTTTCCCAAAACTTTTTTTAAAAAGTCATTTGGGGAAATCAATTCAAGTTTTGCTCTGTAAAAGGCGCATTGAATTACGATTTTATTTCGATTTTTTTTGGGTAGTTTGACAGCAAAGATTGAAGAAAAGTTAAGCAAAAGTTAAGCAAAAAAAGAGGCTTAACTGTTCGATTTTTAGATCAAGGAAAATAAAATATTAAAAACAATTTGAATTACTTGTTAACTTGAAAAATATTGTAAAAAACAAAAGAAAAGTAAAAAAAAGCGAATTGAAATGGCATGTTATCAGTTGTAATTGGAAGAAAAAAAGTGATCGGAAAAAGGAGTGCCTCAAGGACAGTCTTCTCCATTTGACAGATATAAACAAGGAGAAAATGATTGACTTTACCACTTGTACAACGGTGAAAAACAGAAAAGAAAAAGTGACAGATGAATTGAATTTAAAAGAAGAGCAAAATCGGGAATCTTTCTTGAGAAAAACAAAAACCAAAAGCTTCTTTAAGCACAGAAAGAAAGACTCAAGATTTGGATGAGAATTTTGGTGAATACTGCTTTGATTTGAAAACTTTTGCACAACTTTTACAGTACGCTACAGTACTACAGTACGATACAATACATCCTGTGCATAGACAGACTCCAGGATCCGTCAACTGTACAGTAACGGAATATGCAGTGGCACAGTCAACCTGTGAATCAGCAAGTCTATGATGTCATTTGTAAGACGCTTCATAAATCATGCTTTCTGTTGATTTAGTAACAACCTAACGTCGATTTCCAACGGTATCCGTGGCGCAGTCGGGAGCAAGCTTGCCTACGGCGCAATTTACGGCCCTTCTCTTGTCCAGGTTTCGGGCCCCCGTACTAACATTGAACATTGAATCTTGATCTTTTAAGTTTTTATTTTTGAAGCGTTTTGGGTAGATAAGTGTTCTGACAAGTTGACTTTTCAAAAAAAAAAATAACGTTTTTTTTAAAACAGTTTCCTTTAGAATACACTTCTCAAAGCCAAGCCAAGCTAAGGAAAAATAGAGAACGAATAGAATAAAGAATAAAGAACGAACGAAAAAAAATAAATGAACGCTAGAGAGGCTGGGTTTTTATATTTTACTTTTTTTGCTTAAAAGTAAAAGAGAAAAACATTATTGTATTACAAAGTAAATGTTGTTTTTTAGTTAGTTAGATAGTTAGTTAGTTAGATACCGTAAATGCTGTAATAATACCCCCCCCCCCTCGTACAGTCGCGTAGTGGCAAAAGTTTCTTAGTATTTCATTTTTTTCAAAACGCCCGTACTTTCAAAGCCAAGCTAAGGAAAATAGAGAACGAATAGAATAAAGAATAAAGAATAAAGAACGAACGAAAAAAATAAAGAACGCTAGAGAGGCTGGGTTTTATATTTTACTTTTTTTTGCTTAAAAGTAAAAGAGAAAAACATTATTGTATTACAAAGTAAATGTTGTTTTTTATAAAAATGTAAATGTAAATGTCAAATGTAAATGTAAAAAGTGAGTGTTTATGAAAGAATGAGTGTCATGGATACGAAAATGGCTTTTTCAGCTTTTTCGGGATTTAGAAATGGGAAAAGGCAAAAATTTTGATTTCATCTAGAATCCCCCCACCTGTTTTGATTTCTTTTTACAGGGCAGACTCGGCATTTCGTTTTTTTTTCCCGTTTTCTGGCAATCTGAAAATCGTGTTTATTTTCGCGAACGGGTGTATAAAAAGAAAAATCGTAATTTAAGAAATGAACTTAGAAAAAGAAAAAAAAAGAGTAAGAAAATCCTATTGACGAGTTATAGAAAACATCAAAAATTTTCATCTCTTTTTCAGGTAAACAGAAAAAGAGAGAGAAATTTAATGACAGAGATTCAATGTAAACATGAGAAATCTTTGGAAATGATGATATAAGAGCTGATTTCTGATGTAGAACTAGTGAAATTACCTTGAAAATGAGTATTTGAATGTGAAATTACTTTGGAAATGAGCATTTGAATGTAACAATTTTTAAAAAAATTTTGAATTTATACCTTGAAAATTTGAAAAATAATTTGAAAATATTTTATAAAATTTTAAATGTAAAATTACTTGGAAATGAGCATTTGAATGTAAAATTACTTTGGAAATGAGCATTTGAAGGTAAAATTACTTTGGAAATGAGCATTTGAAGGTAAAATTACCTTGGAAATGAGCATGAGCATTTTCAAACCGTTTCTGTGTTTTTTTTTGCAAAATATCTTTGAAATATGTCATTAGGAAAAGTGAAATGAAGTTATAACAAAAATGAGGATCAAGGATAGCTCGAGGTGAAGCTCTTGAAAGAATAATGGTAAAAATTTGTGTGTTAGAAATAGAAATAGAAAATATAGCAAAGATTCTTTATAGAAGTTTGTTTTTAAATTATTTTTGAGAAAAATTCGATTTTTTTGGGTTTTTTTCATTGTGAAAAGCTATTATATAACAAAAAAAATCGAAAATCAATTCGTTTCTCTTGAAACTTTCCTTGGGACAAATGAACTTTTCGGTTTTAAAAAATAAAGGCTTTACGACTCTGAAATCCTTGGAACAAAGTTTTTAAACATTAAATCTCTTTTGGATCTCTTTTGGAAATGAAAACAAAACAAAACTTTGTGCTTTGTGGGAAAGTGAGAAAAATTGGGGAAATCGATTGTTGATGAGGCGACGAATAAACGAGGAAAAAGCTGGCGAAATTAAGCGAAAGTTAAGCGTTTTTGTGTCATTCAAATAAATCTATGTGTAAAAAGATTGTGAGCAAAATTTGTCAAAAAGTTTGTGGACAAATTTTTGTTGGCAACTAGGATTTGTCAAGAGGAGGTCGAATTTTGAGCACTCTCTCCATAGCACTCAAAAAACACACACACACACACACACACACACAAAAACAAAAAAAGTGATTTTTCTTTTCGCGGTCAGCCCGCAAAATTGTGTCAATCCCTTTAACGAGAGTGGGAGAAATCAGAGAATTTATTGGATTTATTGGATTTATTGAATTGTTGATAAAAAGTGAAAAAAATGTCAAGTTTGGAGTTCGTTTAAAACGCTTTCCAAAGAGTTTATTCAAAATTCTTGAAGTTCACCAATTTTTCACTTTAAAATAAAACATTTTGAAGTTAAGAGCCGAATTTTTAGATAGTTTATGGGGGTGGGACAAATGCGACCTTTTTTTTGCGCACCTGGACATTTGCGCACCTTTTGTTTGCTGGAAAAGGCCTTAGGAAAGGTCGTAGAGCTTCGAAAATATTTCCATTGAAGGGAATCGTATGCGTAGATTCCGAATTTCGACAAATCAGACCTCGCTGACACGTCAAATTTGGGCTAAAAGGCAAAAACTACGCAACTTAACGCTTTTCCGCAGTTTTTGCCTTTTAGCCCAAATTTGACGTGTCAGCGAGGTCTGATTTGTCGAAATTCGGAATCTACGCATACGATTCCCTTATATGGATATATTTTCGAAGCTTTACGGCCTTGCCTAAGGCTTTTTCCAGCAAAAAAAAGGTGCGCAAATGTTCAGGTGCGCAAAAAAAAGGTCGCATTTGTCCCACCCCCTAGTTTATCGATCAAAAGAAAGCTTTTAAAGCTTTGAAAGCTAAGAAAATGCTTTTTTTTTATTCCTTTTTGCCAAGAATGACTTTTGTTGAGTTTTCTTTTCTAGTGTGCTTTGAATTTATCCGATTTACTTTGAGCCTTTGGTCTGGCTTAGCTAGTCATGACTTTTAGCTTTTTTAACAACAATTGATATTCAACTAGACACCAGGAACAATGGAAAGATCTATAAAACTATAAAACTACTCTTTACCTTAAGCACCAGAAAAAACAAGAGCTTCAGCTTGCAGCTTTTCAACAACAAAAGTATCTTTACGGCTAGAAAAAAGATAGAGTTTATCTCAGAAATAAAGTTTCTTTCTTTTGGGATAAATTGTTGCTGCTGTTGCTACAACTTTTCTCATAATCTCTGCCAGCGATCTGCCCTGAAAAGTTTAGCCTTGAAATGGAGAAACGTTTTCTGTCAAATAGAGAGAAAAATCGGTACTTAGGAGTTATAAGTCGGGCGGTCTTAACCTGTGGTTATGTGCCTAAGCCTAAGCCTAAGCCTAAGCCTAAAACTAAGCCTAAACCTAAGCCTAAACCTAAGCCCAAACCCAAATAGACTTAGTGTGAGGCGCTAGCCGCTAGCCTTCGCACTAAGTCCAAGCCTAAGCCTAAGCCTAAACCTAAGCCTAAGCCTATAACCATTTATGAGAAGGCAATGGGTTTATGCAAACTTTTAAATGTCATTTTTTTTGCGGAACCTATTTATGATCTACATGTATGAGGACGGATCTATGAGGACCGCGGGGCACATAACAACATACGACATATCAAGACTGCGGTCCTTATAATCCCTTAAGTACCGAAAGATCTTATTAATATTTTAAAAATAAATAAAAAATGTTGAAATTTATTGTTAAATAATAGAAATTTATTCAGATTTAAGGAAAATCAACAAAATTTTTGGTATGAGCAAAGTGATGTCGAAGCAAAAATTGAGTGCTTTGATGGGAAAATTTGTAAATAGAAAAGAAAACAAATAGAAAATATGCAGATTTTGAATATTTCTTTAAAAGATTTTTGATAGGATTTTCTAAATGAAAGACTTTGCTTTTGTTTTCCGCCATCTGTACAGGGTGAAGCCGTCGATTCCACCGTAAAAATACCCGGTAAACAGTTGCACAAAAATCGCGTATAGGAGGCCGATCTGGAAAGGAGAACATCGATTTGAGAAATTTGAAGGTATTTGAATTAGAATTAGAATTAGAATTAGAATTAGAAATAGAATTAGAATTAGAATTAGAATTAGATATAGAAATATTGGGTCGATGGAAAAGTCCTTTCCGATTTTTTGGGAGAGTACCTTAAATTTGTCGAATTTTGACGTTTTATAGCCCATCCTAAAGCCGAATTCAAGACGGATCGATTGGTAAAAACCGTTTTGAGATATCTCTTTTCTAAAAGTTTTTACAGCTATTTTAGTAAAGGGCGGCAGAGCCAAAAAAAATACAGCCAGATAGCTGTAAAAACTTTTAGAAAAGAGATATCTCAAAACGGTTTTTACCAATCGATCCGTCTTGAATTCGGCTTTAGGATGAGCTATAAAACGTCAAAATTCGACAAATTTAAGGTACTCTCCCAAAAAATCGGAAAGGACTTTTCCATCAACCCAATAGAATTAGAATTAGAATTAGAATTAGAATTAGAATTAGAAATAGAATTAGAAATACAATTAATAGGTTGATGCATAAGTCTTTTCGTTTTTTTCGTACTTCTGTTAAAAAGTAACAAATTCACGAATTAATCTATAGTTTGCTCTATAAAAAGTGTTTTTTTTGTTCAATTTGCATCTTTTTAAATGAATTTCGGTTCACTTTCAAGCAAATTCGAGAGTGAAAAACGCCTTTTTCGTAAAAATCTATAAAGAACTCTACGGAAAAATTGGCTGAATGAATTTCTCTGAAATTTTGGCGAAATATCAAACGTTTTTTTTCTCTATCTTTTATCTATTGACACGAAGATAGGTTTTCTTTAGCTAAGGTGTCTAAACCGCATCATCGAGTTAGCCCTTTTTGACTACCCGACTTCATACTCTCAAGAAAATCCAGGCATTCAATATTTTTAAACCCGTTTTAATGTTATTTTGCAGAAAAATAATTGCTTTTTCTAATGAAATCAACCGTAGTTTAATTGGTGCATTTGTTGGCTTGAAACGGCAGACGAAAAGGAACGAAAAGACTTATGCATCAACCTAATAGAATTAGAAGGTTTCAAAGATTTGTGCTTTTTTTGTATGAACAAAATTGAACAGATGCTTGTACTTTGTGGTCTTAAACGAGCGCTTTCTGGTACACTTGATTACGGTAAAGAAATGTTACGACACAGTACGTACCTTACCGTAAATACTGTAATAGTCGTACGGTCGTGTAGTCGCAAAAGTTTTTTTTCGTATTTCATTTTTATCAAATCGTAATCAAATGCTCTTTGAGATCAAAAAATAGTGCTGAATTTCAGCACTATTTTTTTGATAAATAAGCGCACATGATAGCATAAATCAGTGTCAAGAAAAACGCGTTCAAAGCTAGACTACGCAACACTCCACACCGTTATGGGAATGGGGGTACTATTATAGTATTTACAGTATCCACTAGAGTTCGGCAAACAAAACCAAAACCAAAACAGACCAAAACCAAAGCCAAAACCAAAACAGACCAAAACAAACCAAAACTCAATTTGCATATAAATTAACATGTAAATTTAAAATTGTAAAATGCAAATTTGCCTTTCACTTTTTCTCACTCCACAAAATCCCGCGGCCGAAAAAAGGACCAAAACACGACCTCGAAGTTTCGAAACAAAAATTAGCCTATGGGATAGATTTTTTGGATGCTGATTTCAAATCTGCAAACAGATTTTTGCTAGCTCCTCCCAATCACGAGATATTGGCGAGTTTTGGTTAGTTTTGGTTTTGGTTTTGGTTTTGGTTTGTTCTGGTTTTGGTTTTGGTTTTGGTTAAGTTTTGTTTTGTTTTCCGAAGTCTAGTATCCACTATCATTTACTCTTTCATTTTTGAGCACATTGTGAGAAAGAATGAGAAATTGAAAGAAATAATAAATGAAGTGTACTTCGATACTTTGCATTAGAGTGCATTAGAGTTGCATTAAAGTGGATTAGAGTTGCTTTAGAATGCATTAGAGTTGCATTAGAGTGTGTTCCTCTCAAGTAATAGTGCAAAAAAAAACGACTCCCTTTTCGATTTCATGGATAATGAGCAAGAAAGCTTCTGATCCACGTATTAGAAAACGAGATCGTTTCCTATTTTGCGCTATTACTTGAGAGGGACACACTCTACTTTGCATATTACGACTTTTTTTTTCCTTACTTGCAAAAATCGAATAAATGTCACGTGGTAGAGCCAAACGAATGTCACTGTCAAGAAGATAAACCCGGAGAAAATTTTCATGAAACGTTTCCGCCAACTTTCTTTTACCTAAAAAAGAGATTTACCGCTTTAGCACGAAATTGATCTTTGCCAAAACACTATGGAAAAGTAGAGTGTGCGTTTTCTAAAAGGTATCGATTAGGGTGGTGCAAAAGAAACTGCCGATGGGTATCAGGTCTCATTTATCAGAAACGAGCGATGCTAACGGCATTATTTTTTTAATGTTTTGTTCGCATATTTGTTTTCTATTTATTTCGACATTTGAATTTTTTGGTTGTTGTTTATTTTATTTTATTTATTGTTTAAAATGCTTATATTTTTTATTTAGATCATGGTCGAGCAAAAGTTTGTGTTACGAGCAGCATTACTGTTTAACTTCAAAATTGGAAAGTCTGCTGCCGAAACGCATCGTTCTCTCTGTGCTGCTTTCGGAGATGGCAGTTCGTCTTTCAGGCAGTGTCAGACTTGGTTTCAACGATTCCGAGAGGGAGATGAGGCTTTGGAAGATTACAAGCACGGTTCGAGGCCAGAAGTCGTGAACAAAGCCAAGCTGAGGGACGTTATTCAGGCCGATCCATGCCAATCTGCTCGAAATCTTGCGAAAATATTCCATTGTGATCATGTCACCATCGAATGCCATCTTTTTTTTTGAATTTACCCTCAAATCGGCAGTTTCTTTTGCACCACCCTAATAGTTTAGGGAACTACCGTACTCAGATCATTAGTTTACATCCCCCAACCCGATTTTGTTATCAATTTTGGTGTCATTGATTGAGCCTTGTAATTCCTCATCGAATGATGACAAAATCAAGTTGATCAGATGTAAACTAACGCTCTGACTACGGTAGCTTTCTTAAATAGGTGTCTTTTAGAAAACGCATTACTCGAGAGGAAAAAAAACTCAATGTAAAAGTTTTTTCATACATTGCTCCACGAGAATCCATTAGATTCGAATCGACGAAAGGACTCTCTCGGTTCGGCGTAGTATTTCCTTAAGCGTTCCTCTTTCTCAAGCCATAGTCTAGAAGTTTCAAATATAAATTATTAAATTCTTAAAGAATTTGATAGTTTTCAATATCTTCTTGCTTCCAAAAAGTCCTTACTTTGTCAACCATGCTCCAGCCGCCGTATCACTCCTTGGGATCTCCGAGATCGGGATTTTTTTCACATGGAAGTGGACCTAACAAAAGAACTATTTTACTATACTTGTATACTTGTAAAAGAATAATTTTCATTTCCAATTTCACCTCTTTTGGAGCATCTCCTTTCGCTACGAGATGGATCTCGGTTTGCACGGTTTTATATGGATAACCGATTGTGATGTCATAGATGTACGAGATATAGTTTTCTAAAACGAAATTCCTAAATTTCTCTAGTTATTCTGTAAATAAAGTTTGTAAATAAAGTCCTTTTTTGATCCACCTTGTCTCATTTTGTTGAGCAAGTGATTGAAGCCGGCCACGCGCGGGTAGAGAACGTACTCGAGTTGGCTAAATTGAAAAATGATTGAACTTGAATTGGTATCCAGATATGTCAAAAGCTGATAAAGTTGTAGAACTCACCTCAACCCGTTTTTCTTCGCAAACGAATTGCTCTTGGCGGTCGTCCAATCGGTTTTATCTGTACCTTCAGGGAAGAGCAGCACCTAGACTTTAGAATTACAGGGTGGCTCACAATTATAGCTTCAGAGAGCTTAGATTGCCCAAAATTGAGTCAATCGTTTTGATTTCTCTGGAGGTAAATCTTAAATAAACCTCCTAGAACGGTGCTCATTATCTAAGCGATTCAAGCTTTTAACTTTTTAAAATGCTTTTCCAAAGTTGAGAGCCGAGTATCGCTCCTCGTTTACAGGATTTTTGAGAGTGATCTTGTCAAAATCACATTTAGAATTGAATTTATTATGTTAATGAACGAAATTTCACTTTCTCTACGCAGTTTAAGTGCAAAAATTTTAGAGAAATGCCACCAAAACTCGCTTAAAATGATCTATTTTCACTTGTGACATTTAGAAAAGCCACTAAAGAACAAGAAAAATCTTATTTTTCAAGGTCTATCGCTTTTAAATTTTATAAATAAATATGATTAATTGAAATTAAATTAAATTTTTAAAGACTTTTTATCAAAAAAATGAAACTTTAAAAATTCTTTAAATGAGTAGTGTGGATTAGCGAATTTTGGACAATCTATGGCCAGTTTTGGACAATCTAGACCCTCTGAAGTGAGCTATAATTGTGAGCCACTTCGTAAACACATTTCTTACCTGATAGTTATTCTTCATACTCGCATAGTATTCAATCGTATTCTCGAAGCTTTCCTTATCTTTCTCGATGTTTCTTTCCAAAAAGATGAATTGATTCGCCGACATGCCGAATCCTAGGAATTTCAATAAAACTTGTGATTATTTTAAGGTGGCACCTGCTCCCGGCAAGAACTTCAACTCTTTCTTCATCGAGATTTTATTCGACGTAATCAACCAGGGATTTATTTGGAAAAGAGCTGACCAAATGTACATCCAATCTAGTCTGAAAGTGAGATATGATGGGCTTTGAGTGGCCGGGGTCTGAGGGTCGTCATGGCCGAGTGGTTAGAGGCCTAGTATCATAGTCGGAAGTTCACGGGTTCGATCCCGGACTCGAAAGTTTCAGTCTTTTTTCAAATTTTCTTATTCTGCGTTTTCTTGCCTAAATTTGGGATGTGCTTGTGTGTTGTTTGTTTCACATTCTTCATGTTGAATAAATGTAATTGTTCTCTGAACAATAACAGAACCTTGTTCGATGATTCATGAGTATCATTGCCGGCTCATCATACTCGATCGGATCTCCGCACACCCGGATTGTCACCCCGAAGAACCACTCGAGAAAGCACTGAACTGAAGAATTTGATGTTTTCAATTAGCTGTTGATCCACTTTAAGCTTTTATTAAAGGATCTTATCGAGGAATCGTATTTGTTGGCAGTTTAGCTCACTTTACCGGATTTCCCCTAAACCCACCATTGGAATGGTCATCCATAGAGAAACAGCTCGATCCATATTATGTCTCCACGTTTTATTCATCCCGAGTAACAACATCGGCACCATTAAACAACAAATATAACTCCCAAAAGAAGCAGTTATTAAGATAATAAACCCAAAAAACCATCCTTTAATCGCTCGGATGAGAGCAAGCATTGCATCTGAAAATTCTGCAAAAAATTAATAGCAAAATTAGGCATTAATAATAAAATTAGGCGATGGTTCACTCGTAAATAACACTTGAAATACTTTAAAAACTAAGAAAAAGCAAAAACGAATCGATTTGAGTTTAAAAGATTGAGAAAAGAGATGAAAGAGAAGGGAATCGTCGACTCAAATCCATTCCTTTCATTTCATTCTTTCCGACAAATCCAGTCTCTCATTCATAAGCTTCAACATCCACAGCAACGAGTTTTTAAAAATGATCAAAAGGATAAACCCTTTTCCTTTACGTTGAGGGGAGTAAAATTTGGTGATGAACGAAAAGAGAAGAAAGTGGAAAAGAGAGGTTTTGACCTAGATTTGAGAATTTGAAAGACGTGAGAAAATGGGGAAAAGAAAAGGACAAAGAATGACCTTGAACAGAGATATTTGTAAGGATTTTGTAAGGATTTTACAGAGATTTTACTCTCAAATTTTCCTCTCTTATTAAGGGGAACTCATTGACACTTAGAGGACTAAGCCTGCTAAAGCTAAAGCCTGCTAAAGCTAAAGCCTGCTAAAGCTAAAGCCTGCTAAAGCTAAAGCCTGCTAAAGCTAAAGCCTGCTAAAGCTAAAGCCTGCTAAAGCTAAAGCCTGCTAAAGCCTGCTAAAGCTAAAGCCTGCTAAAGCTAAAGCCTGCTAAAGCTAAAGCCTGCTAAAGCTAAAGCCTGCTTTTCCTGTTCGGTAGAGCTTTGAAACCATTGCAGAGCTCTTCCAAAAATCGAAAATTCATTTTGTCTTTTGTTTAATTTAATGAGAATGAAACTTTGGGGTTATCTCGTTGATTTTTCTTGTCAAAGAGATGCGTTCTAAATGACGAAAACCTCTTGAGACTTGAGAAGGGAATGAGATGGGAAAGAGAGGGAAAGGAGGAAAGATTAAGGGAAGGCTCAGGACAACGGCAATATACGGAACGATGTTCAGACCATAATGCATTTAACGTTCCCTACCCAACAAGTGATTCAATTTTACATAGAATTTAGTGCTATTATAGGAGCAGGACCTATGGCCTGGTACTGAGCCGACAAAAATTGTCTTTAGAATAATTCTGTTTGTACACTTGATAGCATCTTTTTTTAGCATCTATCTTTTTTCTCTCTACTCTGAAAGTTTTTTTACTTTGTCAGCTTCACTAGATTGTGTTACTCTTGTTCATTTCAGAATTCTCAACTTTGAGGCATTAATTTGTCTTTAGAATAATCTGTTTCTATTTCTGTTGTACATTCGATAGCATTCTATCATTTATTTTTGAATAGAAGATCAAAGATTTCAGAAGATCAAATGCCAAACTTGAAATTCTTACTAAATTACGCATTTTTTTTTTGCCAAATTCGTTTCTTCGTTGCTTCTCCAAAAAGCTCATTTTGAAGAAAGTTTGGGTGCATTTCGCGGGGAAAAGAGCCAACGAAATACCCACAAATTATTAAGATCTCGTGGGTTCTTTTGGGGAAATAAAAACCCTTGAGATTAAACTCTTTAAAAGTTTTTAAAGTTCTGAAAAGAATTTTTCTCAAAAATGAACTTTTGCACTTGTAGATCCATTTAGAGAAGTCTCACGCTTATTTTAGTGAAATCTTTTTCTTGCAAACGGTTCTCCTTTAATCGAATCATTTTCATTGACAAAGCAAAAGTAGAAACTACATTTTATGTCTGAAAATTCAAAAAATGACACTGGATTTTGTTTTTAACTTTTTCATAAGATATTAAGTGATGGTTTAGCTGAAAATCTGGGTTTTTTCATTATGAAGAGCTATTTTATGCAAAACCGAAAGCTAATTCGTTTCTCTTGTGACTTTTCTTGGGAAAAATAATTAAAATAAACTTTGCCAATAGTTTCTACGATCCTGAGAGTCCCGGGGCACAAACTTTTAACATTAAATCTCATTTGGGGATCATTTACAGAACAAAAGGGAATCACTGTGTGATGATCTTTGTGCGGCCGCGTAATCGCTCGCGACCTGGCACACGTTCCTGGTAGATAGGTATTCCCTTTTGGAATTGATAGGGAAGGACTGATGGGAATGAGTGATGGGAATGACTGATGGGAAGGACTGATGGGAAGGACTGATGGGAAGGACTGATGGGAAGGACTGATGGGAAGGACTGATGGGAAGGACTGATGGGAATGACTGATGGGAAGGACTGATGGGAATGACTGATGGGAAGGACTGATGGGAAGGACTGATGGGAAGGACTGATGGGAAGGACTGATGGGAAGGACTGATGGGAAGGACTGATGGGAAGGACTGATGGGAAGGACTGATGGGAAGGACTGATGGGAAGGACTGATGGGAAGGACTGATGGGAATGACTGATGGGAAGGACTGATGGGAATGACTGATGGGAAGGACTGATGGGAAGGACTGATGGGAAGGACTGATGGGAAGGACTGATGGGAAGGACTGATGGGAAGGACTGATGGGAAGGACTGATGGGAAGGACTGATGGGAAGGACTGATGGGAAGGACTGATGGGAAGGACTGATGGGAATGACTGATGGGAAGGACTGATGGGAATGACTGATGGGAAGGACTGATGGGAAGGACTGATGGGAAGGACTGATGGGAAGGACTGATGGGAAGGACTGATGGGAAGGACTGATGGGAAGGACTGATGGGAAGGACTGATGGGAAGGACTGATGGGAAGGACTTGGGAAGGACTGATGGGAATGACTGATGGGAAGGACTGATGGGAAGATGTGGGAAGGACTGATGGGAAGGACTGATGGGAAGGACTGATGGGAAGGACTGATGGGAAGGACTGATGGGAAGGACTGATGAAGTACCGAGCTGGCCTCGCCACTTTGGGTATACCTATGCCCAAATTTTTGGAACACTTCTTGCCTCATATTTAGCTGTATTTTTGCTACAAATTCCTACATTTATTACAGTCCGCTAAACCCAAATTAACCGAAATATTCAAGGTGGAAACTGACCGGAAAAACATGACACCATTCAATTCTAAATTCTTGGCTTACTAGCATTTGGCATTGTTTCCCCTGATTGCTCCATAGAAAAATCTTTTCTGAAAGCCAGGATTTCTGAAAGCTAGCTCTTTTTAGCTTTATCTCATTGTCGCTTTGTTCCTTACCATAGATTAAATAAAAGGTCACGAGTCACCTTAGACTTTGCTAAATATCAAATTTTGTGTAGACTTGTGAGGCGCTGAAGACAAAAAAGCTGAGAGAAAGCACGTAAATTGTGGAAAAAGGATGGATGGGTGAAAGGGGGATCAAATACGAGTCAAATACGAGTTGACGAAATTTCTTTCAAGAATTTCCAAGAATTTCCAAGAATTCCTTCATTTCTCTTTGGGAAATGAGGAAATCAGGAAAAGGAAATAAAGAAAATAAAGTCAAAAGTTTAAATTAAGGCCATGATGTTTTTGTTTTTATTTTTTGTTTTTTCCGCCTCTTTGTTTTTTTGTTCGTTTCAATTTGGGTTTATTTTTTGCTCTAAAATGAGCTTTAAGGCTAAGAAAGCTTTCATGAAATTCATGAAACAGATTTATAATGTTTCCTGTACACTTTCTTGACGCTCAATTTTCTTTCAAAGTTTCCTTTGATTAGAAATTTTATCAAAAGCTCTACTTCATAGCTCACTTTTGACGTAATCAAGGCTTATTCATTGAGCTCCAACGCGGATTGCATTGTTTCAACGCTGTTGAGAGATTTTGGATTCACTTTTACTCGAAATCTGTACTTTAAAGCTTCAAGTTACACACAATTTTATACTGTTTGCTATGAAAAAGTTTTCAAATCATTCCCTAGTCCTTTTTTTTTGATTCAAATACATTTTCTCATTAGCTAAGCTTTGTTGATTGTTTGATTGATTAAATTCGCTTTAATATATCAATTCTTTGATCTTTTAATATCAATATACAATCTTACTTTTCAATAAATAAATCTCATTGACTTCTCATGATTGAATTTAGACGAAAAAAAATCGATTTTCGATCCTTCTTTCCTTCAAATCATAACAGTTTAAGCATAGCAAAGTTAAGCTTTTTAGCTCTATCTTAGCTCTAGCTTAGCTCTAGCTTAGCTAGCTTTTCATTTCACTAATAACTTTGCTCTAGTAATATTTTCCGAAGAAATGAAGATGAAGAGTCCCTTCAATGATTCAAAAAAAATGAGGTACCAACATCGAGTGAAGATTCCTTTGTGTGGGCGAACATTTCTCTTTTTTTCCCCCTCTTCTCATCATGAATTCTTTGTTGAGACGACGAAGATATTGGGATTCGTCAAAAATCCGTTGATTTTATTTCGAAAAAAAGCAAAGGAGTGAAGCCGAAGAAATCCGCCGATTCGAATAGATTAATCTATTTCTGACCAATGGCGCAAAGAGTAGACGAATTTTTTGAAAAAACCCCGTCAATTTGTTTTTTGAGAAAATCCCGTCAATTTGTTTTTAAGCTTTTGATCAAAGGCTTTTTGGGGTTTGAGATTTTAAAGATTCTGGGTCAATTAGTTGAGATTTCCCATTGATGGCGAGGAGGTGATCGAAAATTCTAGCAGCTTCTTTGAAGGTGCAGGAATTTTCGACCGCTTGAATGACCGGCTTTTGGTCTCTGGTTTTCAGTGGGTTTTTTTTTAAAAAAAAGGTTTACAAATTGTAGTAATCTGTTTTTGATGAAATTTTCTGTAGAAATGACTAAAGTAAATCGGTTTATCACTAATTTATTAAGTATTAAAGGAAAAAAAAATCAGTTTTTCAGATCAGCTTCAACCTTAAATATCTTTTTTTAATTTTGATTTAACAGGATGGCATTTGTAGCAAAAGTAGAGCCAGATTTAGGGCAAAAAAGTGTTCCCAGAAATTTGGGCATAGTGACGCCCAAGGTCTCGAAGTCACATAGCTTTAAA